AAGAGTTCACGTTCCAGAATGCTTTTAGAGTTTTGGAGCAAAACGAGTTTCTTCATCTGAGTCACCTTCTAGAGCCAGTAGACCGCACTGGGTCCTCCGGCTAATCAAGCAGCTATTTTCAAAATCTCTGACGTGCCAGTCCTCGCATCCGAGGTCGCCGTTTGACAAGCTTATCTTCCACCTGGTAGCCGGAACCCCCAGCAAAGCGCACATGAAGGCTCCCTACCCACGGCAGCTTTGTTCCGTCCCCACTCTCTCTCGAGAGGATGGCTCGTCCCGAGGCTAATCCCATTCTCTAGACGCCCTTTCCACCCAACGCTGGCCCTTTCCCTCCCCGTCTCCAGCTTCGGGAGAGAAGGTTCTTCCCTGCAGAACGTCTTGTTTGTACAGCGGCCTTTAACATGAGTGGACCATGAAAGGTCCTCAGTAAACCACACCCCCAAATATTTTCGCTCTTTAACTTGCTCCAGCAACGTGCCTTCAAATGTTATGTTGATAGTGCTATCATCGCGTTCATTTATCAACTTAAAAATGACATACTTCGTTTTACTTGTGTTTAGACTTAAACAATTGGTTTCTAACAATTCTGAGAGTTTTAGAAGATAGTCATTAGCTAGTTTCTCTACAAACTCTTTTGTCTCGCCAGCAAAAAAAGCATTTGTATCGTCTGCATACGTTATTAACTGAAGAGCCTGCGATTTTCGTTGTATCGTTTATATATGCAAGGAATAGCAGAGGCCCTAGAATAGAACCTTGGGGAATGCCATGTTGTATTTCCATTTTGCCAGATGACTTATTATTTAAGTATAACATATTGATAGCATTCGGTGATATAGCTTTTAATTAACTTTAGCCCTGCTTGTCGTACACCGTGTATATATAAGTAAAATATTGTGTTGTACAGTGCCAAGAAGTGCTGATTGTGCAGACTTTTCCTTCTGGAAACCCTATTGAGCCGGAGTTATTATATGATGTATTTTAAAGAAGCTGTTTAGCCTGTCGTTGATTACACGCTCGAAAATCTTTGAGAAAACGGGGACAACTGAAAGAGGCCTATAATTATTAATTGAGGTCTCTCCGCCTCCTTTGTAGACAGTAGTTATATCAGAAAAAACTTCGCACTCAAGCATCATATTTATTATGTGAGATAATATAGGACCTATTATGCTAGCGGTATACTTAATTGGTAGTGCTTTTATTTCATCACCACCAGCCACAACATCATTTTCTAAACTTCCTATCATTTTATCAATTTCAGTTGGCGTCGTTGGAATAAGCATGGTAGATCCCATTCGATTTCTTGCCAGTGTGCAGTAACCTGAGCTTGCATTTTTTCCCGAGCACATGCCTATGCTAATAAAATGCTGATTCATTTCGCTTGCAAGTTCTGGACGGCAACTCATGTTGTTTATTAAGATATCATTCACACTGGTGCGTGTTTGCTTCCTGCTCGTTAGATAGTTAATCATGTCCCATACTTTTTTGGGGTCATTGTGAATATGCAGAAATTAATTTTGATACTTAGCTTTTTTTAGGTCAGAGTTCACTTTGTTTCTCAATTTTTTGAACTCGTCCAATAGAGCAGGATCACGATTATCTATAAAAGCATGATACTTGCAATTTTTCCCCGGATTCTTTTATATAGTTCACCAGCTATTCACAGTTTTCTAATCTTTCTAGGCCTTTCTTTACTTTCCCAAAGGGGAAAAGCAGCATCATAACAATGCTTGAATTTTGTTGGAAAGCTTTTATAAGCAACTAAAGGATCGCATTCTTTATAAACATCAGCCAAACTTTCTTGCTTTATTAGGCAGCAAAACGTCCTGATTCTTGGAGCAGAGTAATTGAACAGTTTTTTTTTTACCGTCTCAACTACGTCTTTTTAATGGGAAAGAGCCTACATTTTTTAGTTCAGCTCACAATTCATTTACATCTATTGATTTAGCTATTGCATCACCTCCATTACTGCCTTGTTTTTCTTGGCAGATTCTTAATACCCCCTTTTGGGAGTGTCCAGTTTCCTAGTGTTTTAGAAAGAGACATTTGTCTTCCCATCATTTTAAAACGAATGCCTCAGTGGAAGTTTGACAAAGCAGATTGGTCTCCTTAAGTTGAACTCCACGCTGGATACATCCCTGTTTTCCTCCATGACTTTGGGTGAGGCCACATTGTATGTGGCAGAGCAGATAATAAATGCTGCTCATCAGTCAATTCCTGAAACTACAGGTACTTTGCCATGCAAGTGCAAACCTCGGTGGAATAAGGAGTGTGCCTTTACGCGCACGGAGCAAAATGATTCTGTACGGTTTTCTGCTCTCAAGATGTTGGATGATATCCATCACCTTGGTTTTCGACTCGCAACGGATGCTTTACGGGCGTCTCCTGTCCTTAGCTTGAATCAAATGAGATGTCACTTGAGAAAAGACGCCAATACCTAAGCTTAACATACAACTACAAGGTACTTGCAAACCGTAATCATCCAACCTACCATTCTTTACAAGGGTCTAGATTTCGTCGCCTTTTCCAAAAACAAGCCACGTGTTGTGAGGCCCTTCAGTTTTCGTATCAACACTTCTGTTACTTACTTGAACTTTGCCTGAACAATGTTAACCTTTTGCAGGATGTACCTAGACTGTGTTGCCCCCTGGGACATATTGTCACTTGTCTGTGACTGGACGTTCACCAAGTTTAGTTTGGTACTTGTCATTCAGTGGGAATTCCTTGAGCTAGAGAAGAAATATGAAGGTCGTACCCACTTCTACGCTGATAGAGCTAAGACTTCATCATTCGTTGGCAGTGCCGTGCATTCTAATCAATTTACAAGTGTGAAACGTCGGCATATTTGTGCCAGCATTTTTACAGCAGAACTTTATGCAATTTCTGTGGCTATAGATAATATTCTGCGTGCTAAAAAGAAGCGGGCAGTCTTATTTGTAGACTCCCAAAGTGCTATTATTGCAATATGCTCCTTAAACGTTACTGCTGTGCAGCAACTGACAAATACACTTAATGATGCTATGCATGGAGGTCTTAAAATAAAATTTTGTTGGGTTCCCAGTCACATGGGAATAAAAGGAAATTAAGAGGCAGACAGACTCTCCACATCCTCGGGTAATCTTCCACCATCCCAAAACCTGTTTGCGGTAACAAGACATCAAACATCTCAAAGTCCTCACTTGTCCATTTATGGCAGTCGGAAAGGAACATGCATTGCAATAACAAACTTAATTTTACAAAGCCGGTCCTTGGGCTGCAGGAGAGCTTTTCACTTAGAAACTGATTTCATGAAGTTTTATGTCATCTTTGCATTGGCCATTCTTACATCTCTCACATCTCTTACAAGCATCTTCTTTGTGGAGAGAACCCACCAGTTCGTGAAAATTGTGGGGATGTTATTACCCTGCTACATATTCTATGGGCCTGTTTAGGATTCGGCACCAAACATCATATTCATTTTCCTGAATTTTTGTGCTTCCAAATTCCACTCCATCCTGCGCTTTTACTGAGAGAATATCCCCTTATCCCATTTTATTGTGTCTTATATTTTATTACCAGCACTGGCCTTATACACCAAATTTAAACCTACTTAACTTTAAAATTTTTTTTTTACTAAACTATTGTGGCTTAATTTTTAAAACTTAGTTTGATGCAGGATGGCTTTCGTAGCTGTTGCACCATAAAGCCCTCAAACAACAGCGCTAAGTCCAATCATGAGCCTTTTAGAAACCATGTGGTATATTTGTTCCGTTGTACGTATCGGTGCGCCAAGATGCGTCGTGCGGTGGCGAGTTTTTTGTCTGCTTATTGAGCACTCACGGCGACTCCGTCTGCTTGCTACTGCTAAAGGGATTAAATACTGTCTGGAAGTGATGTAGTGAAGATAACCAGGGATCAGAACCAGCGGCCATTAAGTAATGAAGATGAGTCGGATCGAGTGTTCGACGCAAGAGTGTATGTACGGACCACGTGTAGAAGGGAGATACGGGTCCAGGTACATACACAAAGATTGGATTGGGTTGAATTGCATTGCTATGGGCTAAGGCAAAATACCTTTGTCAGTGTTGCCTGCATGCCCTCCTACTTCTCCAAACAGTTAACATATTTACGAAATATGGCATGATTGTTTATGAAGCTAAATACCATGTTCCTTTACTTCACCGATATAAAATATTGTGCTATCACAACAGTGAACCATATCCATAAGATTAGTACTTTTCATACTCTGTGTATAGGAATTTCTCTCGCACACTCTTTTGCAATCCGGATGCAAGCTTTTCTGAGGTAGTGCTCCGCCTGCCAGCCTTCAGGCTGTATAGTCCATCGTAGGGTGAGACGGAGTATAGTGTTTGTTTTTGTGCAGATATTGTCGTTAAAAAATGATATGCAACTTCAAAATGAAAAAGAGAAAAAAAAATTTTACATTGCTATTGCAGTCTAAGTTGTGCACATAAAGTATTACTCCAGTAAAAGCACATATACTGCTAGACATCTTCAGCTCGGACACTCGCTATATGCATGCTGGGTCTATGTAATTTTGGCATATGACCTAGTTGAAATGATGTCCATTGTTGAGGATGTGCTTGCCAGCGATCAACCTTAGTTAAGCAGGTGTCTAAGTTGAAAAGGCATTAGACGGAGGTTTCATTGTATATCTTGTACGGAATCGTGACACGGCATTGTTTTACTTGTTGGAATACACCGTTTCACAAAACTGCTTACAGCAACCGTTATTCTAGAGGTAGGTACACTTGGCACGTGCTTCCCTCGCTTGCCAAAGTGGGAAGCATGATCCACATTACTGCTTTTGTCTCACATTAGACTGCTACTTTTTGTAAACGGTGGTGTGGCCTACTGATGTGGACATTTTATGCATGCAGTCTGGCTGTTACAGACTGGTTAGGTGGATGGGAATGAAAACCTCCACTGCATGACCCATTACTAAGCATTAAAATTTGGCATTGCTGAAATGTAGTTGAAGCGTTAATTCTTTTTATTTCAAGGTTGTCTTGGCAAAGGCCAACAGTCTTGGCTCTAGTCTCTCCAGCTTTGGCAACATCATCACACAGGATATTTGTCTTGGGGAAGGAGAGCCTCTGGACAACAATGGTGTGGCTGTCATCAGATACACAGGCTGGCTTCTTAGCAACCATTCGCTTGGAAAGGTATCGTGTTTAACCTGTTCTCACAATTAACACCTCGCTTTTTTTATAGAGATAGCTATTTTATTTGAGTGCCTGCCAACAGCCGTGTGGCCTGGGCAGCAGCACACTGTCCTGGGAAGTAATAAACAAGCAAGTTACAGAAAAAATGTCCATTTGAATGAACAAAGTATTGTGCATCTGTTGTAGACGTGTCGTGGAGCAAATGGCTCACACATCAGGATAAAAGGCATCGCGGCACCTGGAAGTTCGCCCCGATGGTACACGAAAGTTCAGCGCCGTCAGCAACTCTGCCTAGTCAACACAGCCACATACAACTTGGCGCAGGAAATACATACATCTCTTTCAATCCTTCAATTGTGCGGCGACAACAGACCGAGGTTTACCAGTAGATTATTGTAGCCATGAAAGCAACGGTGTCCAATGTGCCTATTGTATAAAATTCATATAAACTTACTTTGAACCTTTTCAATTAAATTACTGTGTGACACCACGACAGAGTTCCATTTTACCGACGAGAATTCAAGGCGTGATCTAACAAGTGCACAATACAGGCTTTAAAGACATTCGGAAGTGCGAAGTTTTCTCGTAAGCCACGGGATGATGCCCAGGTTGCAAAGTTCTTGGTTAACAATGTGCGAAACATATAGACGAAAATGAAATCTGCTAAGGGAACCTTCAATAGCTCTATCAACACTTGCTAGAAAAATATCACTAAGTGTGATATTTTTCAATATATTTATATTTATATAAATATATATAATATATATTTATAGCAAGTACAAATATATTTATTTATAGTAAGTGTGATAGAAAAATATCTATCACACTTGCTAGAAAAATATCACCTTTGACACTTCTGATCTGCTAAGGTGCCCTTAGCAGATCAGAAGTGTCAAAGGTGTTCGGATACGTTGACGATTTTTTGCTAGTGTATCCCAAGTCTGTTGAAGGTGATTACGTTGATAAGGTTATGAGCGTATTTTCCAGGTGCGGCTTTGGTCTTAAATTCACTGTTGAAAAACCTTCGGACGGAAAGTTACAGTTCCTGGACCTTTCGTTATCTCTTCATACAAACCATATCTGCTGGAGTTTCTCTCCTAGGTCAAAAAAGGGCATCCTTCACTACACATCCGCACATTCGAAAGTTCTTAAAAGGGGGATTGCGGTTACCATACTTGGGGCTGCTCTTACGAAGTCCTGCTTTCACACTGTTCGTGAAAGTTTTAATGCTCAAGTTGAGAGACTCCAAAAGTCGGGCTTTCCATCACAGGTCTTAAACAAGGTGGTGGCGGTTTTAGTACGTAAGACTAAAGGGATTCAGCGAAAGAAACCTAGAGATCCACAGAAACGAAAGGTTGTTGTACCATACATGCACAAAACCTCTCATAATTTAAAAAGAGCAGCCCAAAGGTACGATGTGCCTGTGGTATTTTCGGCTCCTAAAAGAATGGCGCAAATCTGTTCAAAGGTTCGCTCGATAGCGGATAACCTCAACAAAGAGAAGTGCCAGAAACGCCACAGCCACCCTTATGTGCCGTGTTCAATTGGCGTGGTGTACAAAATCCCACTAACGTGTGGTAGAAGCTACGTGGGCCAAACTCGACGGTGCCTAAACGATCGCCTTCTTGAGCATGATCGTTCACTAAAATCTACGGTGGGTGGTCACCTTCCCGTTCACTGCAATTCCTGCTCGTGTGCTCCGATTCTAAAAGGCACAACAATAATTGGACACTATCGAGACAAGACGACTCGTGAAATCTTGGAAGCACATTGCATCAACAGCCTGGGGGACTGTTGCGTCAGCCACCCATCAGTGACACTACTAAACACTGAAACCTTGTTTTTAGATCGGACATTGCAGTTAGATGGTGTTGTGTCGCGTGTCACAAGCACTGCGTGCCCTGCGTGTCTTTCAGAACGTTTTCTTCTTCTTTCTTTTGTGTATAAATTCAGTTGCGAGTCAGCGCTTGTGTGTCTTGCATGTTCCTTTTCTCTGTCCTTGTCTTTGTGTGCGCTGTTCTGTTCATCATGTCATACTAAACGAGAGTTTGTGCAGTTGAGATGCATCCTTCAACGAAGAGCTTGCGCTTGTAGCCTGGTAGCGGAATTGTTGTACATAAAAAATACTGGGAAGCATAAACAGAACAAAGGGCGAATGAACGCAGATAAGCATAAACTATGTGAACACGTAAAAGGAGCAGAGCTACTTTTCGAGCGAAAATGAATCAGCGAGGTGAGATCACTATGGAGCGTGCCATATCTAGTGCATGGGAAGTGGGACCTGTAGCCGGTTGGTTGCCCGCAGGCCGCGTCCCAGCAAGTCACGGGCCACATTCGGGCCGTGTGTTTTGAGACCCCTACTTTATGAGGACTAAATTTGCACTCCTGAGTCACTTTATACAGACTAGGAACTGCAAAATCGTCCATGCCTGACCTTATTGAGCTTTTTTTTTTTATAAATATACAGGAGGAATATTTAGTAATGTAATTTCTTCGAAAACCGGGCTAATGTGATTTGAAGTGAGCCATCGTGCCTTCATTCTTCAGGTGTTTGACACCAATGCTGATGCAGAGAAGCCATTGAAGGTGAAGCTTGGCAAAGGAAAAGTCATCAAGGTGTGGATACTCTCTTCTTTTTTTGTTGCTTTGTTTTGTTTTCTTTATTGCTTTGTTTTTATAACAAATCCATTTACCGGTTTCTTGATTTTATTTTACCTCAAGCCTTGCGACGACCAGCTAGCCTACATCTGATATGAAGGATTTTTGGACCATGCTACTGGTCTTGGTTTCAAGAGAAAACTTTCAGCTGCCATTGAAACTAGTAAATTGGAAATGAAATGGCATGCAATAAATATTATTTCCAATGAGCCAGGAAGGACAAAATGCTTCACTATAGTATTTTCCACTTTATTGTCACATTCACTGTTCAAATCTGTATTTGTCCACCTAACTTTCGATTTGTTTATATATTGCCAACAGGGTTGGGAAGATGGTTTGCAGGGTTGCAAGCAGAAATCAAGGAGACTCCTGGTGGTGCCCCCATTGTTGGCCTATGGCTCCCAAGGATTAGCAAACACTGTGCCTTCAAATGCCACTCTCATATTCGACATTTCGATCAGCAAGGTAGGTATGCATGCTTCTTCTCGCAGTCTCGTCATGGGATCTGCCCGTGGAATGCTGTTCTGTTTACCTGTCCTTTGTTTTCAGGCGAAATCCGGAAGGGATAGTACAAGGTCAACCACTCCAGTGTCTAATACTGGCAGTGAGGCGGAGAGGCCAGAAACGAGAAGCTTGTCTCACAGGTGACTATTTCGTTTAGTAGCCCTTTGGTCGCCTTGGTGCTATTCTTGACTGCTGTAAAAAACTGCACTTTGCAACCAAATTGTTGGTCTGAAACAAAATAATACCAAATACAGCCGCAGTTTGATTTGGGTCATTGTTGTATTACAACAACTTGCCGCACAGCTCTATGAAAGGGAACGCAGTGGCTTGGTTTTGAGAGCCACCTCAATTGAAGCATATTACTGGTCTTTGAAAATTAGTGTTTATGTAAACTAACTAGATCTGTTGGAGTAAGACCTGTTTATCATGAAGACGGATATTGGAAAGACGGCATGAAAATAACAAAGTTTTCCTGAAAAAAAAAAACTGACTTCACTATCTAGAGCAGTGGTTCTCAAATATAGTCCGCAGACCCTTTGGGGTCCCTGAGGCCTTCTTAGGGTTCCCGAAGCCCTCGACAATCAACCATACCAAGCAATAAAACTTTTTTTTATTGATCCTGGCTGTCCCACAGAGATAAATAAACCAAACTTAAATGTGCTGAGTGAGTAGGGTTGATTGTTCTCTGTTTCAGAAGTTTGAAGTTGGTTTGCGAGCATTCAGTTTTCTTCATTTGCCTTTTTAAAATGATAATTGTTTGATACTTTCCTCCACCCCCCCTTCTCGCTAGACTGGGTCCCCCTTAACTTCCGCCCAGCCAAGAGGAGTCCGCAAAACATCACTGTTTGAGAACCACTGATCTGGAAGCTTTATCTTGGTGTATGTTAGTGTCGAAAACTAAACAAAAAAAGAATCATAACAATGATAATAATAATGATGGCTATTCAACTTGGGAGCATTCTAACGGCGCATGAACGTAAGATATCCACAGCAAAAAATTTTTCTTTACTTATACCAGTATTTCACAGTTTGCTAATCACATATGCATCTCCACCAAGAAAAAAATGGTAGTAACGGTGCCTTTGGGTGTGGAGCCTGGAACTCTCCTTGTACTGCTGCGTGCATTGTCCCATATCGCCCATGCGTCGGAGGTCAAAGTAGCAACATAGTACGACACAGGAGCTGCCACTTAACAGTATGGGCTGTCGTGACCCTGGAAGTTGGTCGTAGTGGTGCCGACAAAGTTACGTCACCAGGCAGAGATTGAGGGGAAAGCGAAAATTGCAGTTGTATCTTCATCTATAGATCAAACCGCCGTATGCAGAATTCTTTTTCTTGAGAAATGCAGCCAACGCTCGCATTTCACATCCAACTTTCTCACACACGTCGCTGCATCTTTTTGAAGTGTTGCCTCATTGTCCCGTCCTGCATCTTTTTTTCTCGCGACAACACGGAGAATGCACAGTCTGGGATGATTGAGCATCGTGTGGGGGGACTCGTCACGTGTTGATGAGCAACGTTTGCGAACACCCGTAGGTTTTTGGCGACACAGGTGTTTCGCAGAAGGCAAACTCTGCCACCGTCCATTCTTCCGCCCCATCCACGCTTCGCATGGTCACAAAAATCGAGTTATGCTTGGGAACAACTTTCTGCAGCCCCGCAGTCAAAACTACGAAGGTGCGCATGCTCACGCACCTTGAGCGCCGTTAGAGCCGTGGCATGAGCGCTACTGCTCTCATCAGAATTGCCTCATAAAATCGTCCCTGAGTATAGCTTCTGCTCAAATGCAGTTCTAAGTTGATGAAGATGCTTTAGACACACCGGTCAGAGATGCATTTTAGGTGTCGTGCCATGCCTCTAGGGTACCTGGCCGCCTCCTCTAGGCCCCGTGTTTCCCTCCTCGTCCCAACAGCAGCGTGGACGAGTCCATTCGGGCCCGAGGTGCCTCCCTGTCAGAGCAGCTGAGCCAGGCGGCGAGCAGCGGAGCGGAGAGCGACAAGGCCCGCCTGCTTTCGCGCATGGCCAAGATGGGCAACCAGATACTGCCCCTCGTGGGGGCAGTGCCCGCTCGGCCCAGCAGCGAGTCAGAGCCCGAGGTACAGCTCTCGACGCATGCACAGCCGAATTCGGTGCAGGCACTACTGTGTTCATGGAGGTAGGAAGTTTCTGGAGGCGACATGACGCCACCAGAGGTGAAGCCACAAGTGTGGAGGGACACCCCCCCAACCTCCACACTTCTGACTTCACCTTTGATGGCATCATGTCTCCTCCAGAAGCTTCCTACCTCCATGACTATGTTGATGTTTATGTTTATTGCATGCCCAAAACCAGCATGAAGGTTTTGATTAAATGAGTCGCTTTCATGCAAAAATAAATTCAACATGGAAATGCATGAAATGCATAAATAGCCCATTGAAGAGTCCAAGTCGTAATAAATTGTGTTACGGGTGCATTATTCTATTAAAAAGGTAAAAATGAGGCATGGAAAAGAAAATATACTGAACATGGCTATTGCAAAAAAATCTGAATTCGACGTAATGGTGTTCTTTCGAATTGCTTGTCGGGATGAAACGTTTCACAGCGCCACGTGAATTTAGGTGGGATACAGAACTTTATGCCTCCCAAAAGATTGGGTGCATCGGTATGACCTTGGATAAGTTTCTGTATATCCTCCTCGAAGCAGAAATGGCTAAAAAAAATTATTAATGTTCATTACAAAAATTATGTTGCAGATTTGTCCGACAAACTCTGATGTTTGTGTTCACGATGACAAAAAAAGCTGGTCAGGACACTTAATGTAGTGTCGTTAAAAGTAGAGTTCGTGGTCCCGATGAGAGGCCATTTCAGTAACGAGAAAGTGATGTCTGCGGTGCCTACAAATCTTTCCATGTTTTCTAAGCTGTGACTTGAGGGCGAGTTAAAGCAATGAAAAGTGCAACTTCCAGCAACCTTTCAACTTCATAGAAGTAATAATATACAAGAGCACGTCTCTGTTTGTGCTTTTTTTTTCACATCTTGTGCTGTGCTTCGTTCGATCAAATTCTCCAAGAACACAAGTTAACAAATGGAGCGGCGTAGTTTGAGATGTTGTGTGGCCTGTTTTCTTTTGTTACTAAACTGTCATGCCTAGCTGCAGGTTCACTGTTTACATTACCTTTTTCTGTTTTTCGACTTTTATTAATTTTTATGTTTTTTCACGCCTACACTGCTCGGAGGGCATTACAGGAGTGCGTGGTGGAAAAGAATATGTAATACAGCAAAGACAGCATAAAAAGCACAGAAAAAAACAACAAAAAAAAAACGCCCAAACAAAAGATGAGCGGCAACTTGATGACAATATTATTTAATCGAGGAACGAAGAAACGGAGGGCAGCTCCGCTTATAAATCGGCCTGCCCATTTCAGTTGTAAGCGGCTTGAGGGGAAAATATGAGCTTTGCAGGCTTTAATCCTTAAAGGGGCACTGACACCCCAAAGCTCGTATTTTTTTTATTGTCTAAAACGATGGAAATTGCAGTCATAAACACGCAAAAAAAAAATCCCATCGCGAAAAAAAATTTTCTTGCACGCGCCTTTTTATTTTTGGCGTTTGATTCTCCCGCCTCTCGCCTCCTCGCTTCTTTTGGTTCATGACGTCATGAATCATGAAATTTAGAAGCTTTGTAGGCGACATTTCTATAACATTTAATAACGGCAATCGTAAAATGTTTTTTAACGCAATTGCGAACGCACTACGGCCCTTCTTTTTGAAATGCCAAAAATCAGAGTTCGTTGTGCTGCCGTCTCCTGGATTTGTATCCTCCCACAAAAAACAGGCGACACCGCTCAAAATCGGTCCGCCGGCGGCCGGCGCTTGCTTGCTCCTTTCCTCCTCACTTTGGGTCGCCATGGCAACAGCAGAGAGTCGTGAAAGAAAGTGGACTCTCAGGACTCCGCAATATTTGACGTCAACGCACCGGCGCGGATCGCGCGGGAACTTCGAATTTGGCATTTGGAAATTGTTCTTTTAGTACAAATACTGAATTTCCAGATTTTGAATTTTGAGGGTAATGTCCTTGCATCGTTTTCAGTCGTTCCGGATAATAATAAAAAAATATAATTTTGATGTGTCAGTGCCCCTTTAACAACAGACCATAAACCATTTATACGACCCATTATTGGTTAGGGGTGACACAGGGCACACTTATAATTTTAGGACGAACCACCAGCGCTGCAGCAGACCACTAGACCTCAACCAGCACTGCGTGCAGATTCTCCAAAGCCGTCTGTCAAACCTAGAAGTACACAGCCATTGCCAGCACCACAGCCCATTATGCAGCCTGTTATACAGCCTATGGTTGCTCAATATGCTGGTAAGTGCTACAAATAATAAACTCTTTGGTGGAATTCACTTACATCATGCTTAACTGTCATATAACATTTTTCAAGAATGCTTATCTTTTTATAAAGCAGTGTTTTGTGCTAAGTTTCCTTAAATTGGATAGCCATGGATTTCGAGCATGTGACCACTGCACAATGCTCAAAAACTGGTGGGAGTTCATACTCTCATAAAAAGCAATACTAAACCTGGGTAATTCATATAGTACTTAGGTAAAAGTATTCAAATATTCACGCACTCGTCGGTTAGATTTTGGTTGACTCGAAAAGGCTGTCTTGGTTTTTAACTTTTCTTGTTCTAGCAAAAGATTCACCATTTTTGTAATTGTGTTGTGCATATGTTTAGACAGCAAGAAGTTACCAATTCCCAGTGTGAGTCTAGTGTCTCGGCTGTAGATGCAAAGTTTAGCCAGTGCAGTACCATTCGTAATTTGGGGTTTTTAAACTTTTATTTAACTGAAGAGTGTGTCTTTAGATGCCGCCATTTTGACCTTGAAATGGGGAGCGCCTCTATAAAGACACGCGACACTTGCTTTGGATGGATGAAGTTTGCGCCATGGAATGCTTGTCAATTTTTGATGGGGGTTATAGGTGCAGCCGTTTATGGAACATGATACCAAACATGTTTGGTTTCATTTGCATCCGCTGGCTGTCGAAATAATCTACCGTAGTTACTTTGCCAGGAAATATGTTTTCGTGTTCCCATTTAGAAGCGTTGCAAGGCTTTGACAGATGCCGTAATCACAGCATTGCTTCAGCGAAGTGACGACGATCTCTTGGAAATGAGCACATGATCAGTGACAGTGAAACCTCAAAGATATTTACAGGTCAAGCCTGGCGTCATATTTTTTTGCCGAAATACATTTATAAAACACCAGTCTTTATGGCCTACCATACAAAGTCAAACGTGTAAAAATAAGCAGTCTCTCCCCTTCGCTATAATCTAGCACAAGATGCAATGAGTTTTTCCTTTACATTTAATAAACTAATTCAAATATTTTGTGCAACAATGATGTTTTAGATTTCTGAACAAAAGTAAACTCTAAAACATGATTGTGCAAAAAAAAAAAAAAAAAAATCTTTTCACGGAAGGGATTAACATACATCATGCAGTAGTGATTACACAATTGCATGCTGATACAATGCTCATCCAGGTCTAAATGGGCAGGGGTCACCATTCTTGGCTGTCAAAGAACATGTAAGCAAACCTAATCATGAATTGCACATTTAAGAAGGTGGTCCTGGTCAAAGTGATCATGGAGATGAGACATTTCCTAATCCACATAGCATTTCTGGGGCCTCTAAGCCCAACTTAAAACCAGCCTGCATTATCAGCCACCCCTAGTCCCTTATAAAGTGGCACTGAAAGGACAGCAGGATCACAATCTTGTTGTGAGCCTTTGTGATAGCATCCTCGCTATCAGCCCTGGTAGTGAGCTCAGCTACACCCACAGTGAACGCTTTCCTTGCGTTGTCGCCTACAGGGATGCCACACCAGGCCTCTGCCGCTTCTGCTGCTCAGCAAATGGCCGTGTACCAGAGCCAGCCACAGTTTGCTGTGAGATACACTTCCTTTTTCATATTGTCGGTTCGTCAGGGTTGGAGTTTGCGAGGTGATTTTTACAGCCTTGTTTCATACTATCCAGATAAAAAAGAAATGTTGCACATGGTTTGGTAGATTCTGGTGGCACCAAATTCTCTAGCTAGGTATATTTGTCAAGCCATCTTTCATGTTTGACTAGGTAGGTGTTCTGAGCAATAAATTAACTACTGCCATTCATATTGACCCTATCTCAAATGTGGCTGGCAAGGGGGCTGATGGATTTTGCATAATGTACCTTTAGTACATCTTGGAACTACTTGGCCTATTTAGGATTTAGAAAAACTTTGTCCTGTTCAAATTTTATTATGTGCTATTTGTCAAAGTACCTCTTGGTACTTTTTTGTTTTGTTTCAGCTCTCTTAATATTAGATGCTTGATTTCAAGAGTCTGTGGGTACTGCAATAGATACTGTGCATTTGATAAGAAAAAAAAAAAAACTGTCTACAATTTTTAATTTCTCTTTCCGTTCTTGAAGGGGTCACAAAACAATTTTTTTTGCTTTGGCCAACTACAGGCTTTTCAGCTCATTTTAACCAAAACAGCAATCGATTTAATCCGAGCGCAATTCAATTTAATTCAAGCACCATCCTATTTAATCCCAGTGCTACCTAATTTAGTCTTGGTGTCAGTGAATTTAATCCACAATATATACATGTGCTTATTTGTCTTTAGTGGTCACATTTCGCTTACACTTTTGACAACTAGAGTGATTGTTTATAGTATTAGATTTTGTTTGGGACAACTGATATTTTGATCACTATTTTGATTAGTTGGAGTTACTAGTTGAATGATTGACATAGCTTGACATGTTGATTACTCTTTTGGTAACATCGACTTTTAGTGGAGCACTCGACTTTAATTTAGCTGAATTGATGTTTTGTTTAGTCTTTCTTATTAGTTTGACTTAGTTTGATTTGGGGCAATTCAGATGATAAAAGTGCAATTGCAGTTTGTGATTACTCTTGGTTATTTTGTGCTATTATTGACACTTCTGACTTTATTGAAAGCTTAATGGAGGTATGGCTTGCAATTCTAATTACTTTGACTCATTAACAACACAAAGTACGAGATAAAAGTTTCTCAAACATTTTGTATTACTTTCTCTATTACTTCAAGGAATTATTGACAAAATTATAACTTGGTAGAAGATAACCTTCTGATTGCTTTTCGGTTATAGAGGTATCATTGACACCCCTAAAGAAGCAAAATTTTTATTACTCAGTCGATTACTTCGAAATATGATAGACAAATGCAACTGCATCAAAGTTGAGTTAAAATTTGGATTATTCCATGTTACTTGTCACCGAATTGACTTTAAATTAGCTCAATTAACTTGGTGGTTACTTTTTTTTTTATCTTTCCCTGATATATTAGTCACACAAGTGAGTTTATATCAGCATTATTGACATCTTGACTGCTTTGAGTAACTTGTGACCTATTTGACTTTATATTGATCTAATTGACATAATCTTCACCTTCATTATTACTTTGAGGTTTTATAAAACAAAGTGATTTATTATTAGCTCAGTTACCATTTTGATCACGCCTTTGATTACTTCGACTTACTATTGACCCAGTGGAGTTTGGTTTGGCCTAGTTGACATCACAATTACTCTTGACATTACTTGGAGTAAATTATAGACTAACCGATTTATTATGACCACTAGTCACATAATTACTCTTTTGATTGCTTCGAGTTACTATTGATCCAATGGACTTTAATTTGCCCTAACTGACATCTTGATGACTACATTACTTTGAGCAAATATTCATCCAATTGATTTGTTATAAGCTTAATTGATCTGATGATTAGTAGTTTGGTTACTTTGTGTTACTATTTACTCAATAGACTTTATGTCAGCTAATTGACATTGTGGTGCCTCTCTTGATTTCTTCGAGTTATTATGTGCTATTAGCTTCGAGCTATTATTAGTTCAATTCACAATATTATTACTCTTGACTACTTTGAGTTACTTTTGACACATATATTTTAATACAGCCTAATGGACAGTATGATGACTCTTTTGATTACTTTGAGGTAATATTTAGCCAAAATATTTATTATGAGCTCAGTTGACATTATGATTACCCTTTTTATTGATTAGAGTTACTATTGACCCAATGAACTTTAATTTGGCCTAATTGACATTTTGGAAACTCTCTTAAAGAAAATTATTTATTTTTACCCAATTTGCTTTCGATTTTTGGGTGGGCTATCTCTCAGGATATTATAGTAATCACCTGTGTATACAATCACAAATATATTTGGGAGTCATGGTAACCAATACACTGAAATGCAAAACTAAATGTTTGTAGTCTATGAGGGTGGAGTGTTGGGTGAGTTGGTGATTCATAATGGTTAAAAAGTGAAACAGGACAATGGACAGAAAGGAAGACAAACACACTCACACACAGACACCTCTGTCTCCCTTTGTCTTTTGTCCTGTTGCACTTTTTAACCAGTTTGTAGTTTCTTCACAAGTAGTCGTGATTGGTATTACAGATATTTAAAAATGGCCGTACAACATAAATTTTATGACCTAGTATATGAAGCTACTACAGCCAGACCAGCCAGTACAACTGATATCCACAGGTCATTGAAGAAAAAGAGGGCATGCTTTATGCTTTAGAACATGAGTTCCTACAGGAACTTATACATAGAACAGAAATGTTGCATGTTTACAGACTAGGTAATTTTTTTGTTTTTAGGAGGGTAAATGGCTATGTGGTAATATCTGATAGTCTGGGTTTTGTTTTTGGCAAGAAAGTTCATGGGATTTAAGCTTGTAATAGATATAGCACAGCATGAAAAGACAATGCAGTGTTATTTGTTATTGATATATGTTAAAATGATGCAAAATGTTTAGAACATTTTTGCTTTGTTTGCCATGTCTTTCGTACAGTAGTAGAAGCTGTTTCTAAGTGACCATCTTGCTTAAAGTTCCTTTGGGCATGTCTGTATGAGCTGAACCACTTGTCACTATTATTGTTTACTTCGTACACATATCTGATGCATTTGCTTTGAAGGCACCATATAAGTGAGATTTCGGTTGTGCATTAAAAGAGTTACAGGTGGATCAAATTATTTCTTAGTACTTTGCTTGGGCACGCAAGGTGTCCTTTGTTGATTTGGCATGCAAACACCCCCAAACTTTACATGTTTTACTTTCACATTTTTTGCACATCTTGATTTTGGTGTCTAACCTGTGCTCCTTTCTCTCCCTCTTCCTTATTATTTCTTGACCATACAACCTCAGCATTCATATTATATACTTCATGCACATATATCTTCTTTCCTGCAAAGATGTGCAAATAAAAAAATGTGTGCAATAAAAAAAAAACTAAAATGTTTTTTGTTTTTTATTTTTTGATAAAGAAAATTGCCGTTCTGTTTTTTAGTTACTTTAATGGCTGTGTTCTTAACATCCATGGGCCACACTTGTAGGTGGTTAGAGGTTTGCATTGAATCTGGGGCTAATATGCAACATTCAGTACAGTGGTGTACTCCAGGAAATAAAAACCTTGCATCTCGTAGGGTGGCCTGGGAGCCTACCCCTACCACCAGCAGGGCTTGGTGCTGCCTCCCCAGCCCTACCAGGCGGCACCCATGGCGCCACTCAGTGCCACAGTTCCAGATGGGCAGCTCCCGCTCCTGCTGTCGGAGACCCGGTCACAGAACACCGAGATCAGACTCGGCCTGAGCAAAGTGGCCGACAAAGTAGACACTGTCCTCAGCAAGGTAAGCCTCCCACTGCCACATTTGTTTTCGAAGAATCTGGACTGGGACTTTATATTAAGCTGCACTCTTAAGGCTGGTCCACACTCTAGCATTTCGTCACAACCGAGTGCCTCGTGCTTCGCTTCAGACGAAACAAGACTCTGGCATGTTGGCACCATCTATGACGTAGCCCTGGAACCGAATTTATCTAGAGCAAAGGTGTTTCAGTATTTGTGAAGTCACGTGCATACTATCTATGAGAAATGAGAAACACTCTCGATGATTTTTTAAGCCCACGGCAAAAAAATTATCCACAAAAAATGAGGAAATACACGCGAATTGCGGGTGTTGCATGGCTACCTGACAGACGGTGCGAAGAAAAAACGCGTTCAAAAGCGAGATTGAGTCGCGAGAGTAAAACTACTTCATCTTGGACCATGCAGATAGTACTAAGGAACCGCAGTAAGATATGCCTAAGAAGCATGCACCCACGTCATTGTAGGTGCCCATCATTTAGTTTGCAGAGATTGAAGAATTCACTCCGTATAATTTATATAAATCTTGTTCGAGCATGCACCCACGCAGTTTTTGTCTAATACTAGTTGTGACCTTACTAAATAGATGCGTAGTACCTCTTGCCTCAGCTTTTCTTTACTGGCGACAGCTTCTGTTCTTGTTTTGTCGTATGTCTTAAGTCGTCGTCTTTCGATAATACTTTGTTGCTTTTACAATAGCCAGCTATGGTAACTGACAGGGAGATTGTTCACCCGTCCCGCCTCCAGCGTGAGCTTTAGACCTTTGATAATGCTCGAGCGTCTCGTGAGCCCCGCGCGTGCACATGCGGCCAAAGCGTGGCAAGCTTCAAGGTGTGCGTGCTGGAGGCCGGCCGTTCTAAAGAGACATCCTGCCATTCCCGCCCTGCCGGTGACCATGGTAGTAGCAATGTGTGCTAAAATGCCCCTAAAGCTGCGATACTTCGTAAAAAAAAATAGAAGTAGTATGTGCCGACTTCAGATAACCGAGAAAACGGACTCGTTAAGTATTTTGCTTCTTACACATCAGTACATGTACTACCGTGGTATCCCGAGAGACCCCCGAAATATCATCCCCCTTATTGTTGGCTTGATTTGATCTTTTTCGAAAAACATCGAAAGATGTGGCCCACTCCTGGTAATTGCAGGGCCTTGGCCTTGTCCAATAGTGAGTTCAGCAGAGATGGTGTTATTTGGCTGCGGCGGGAGACACGCCAACATTGCCAACCGGGAAGGACAGTCGAATATGGTTCCCTGCGATCGCAAGTTTTGCAGGTCGCAAAAATCTAAAACTAGCACTTTTCGGTTCTTTTTATCGCACACCGAAAGTTAGCTCAATCCTTATTTGCACCCAATTTGCTTTTGAATTTAGGTGGGCTGTCTCGGGATATTACGGTAGACAGTGAATGCGAGTCCTGTATTTGCTGTGTATGGTGCCTTTAGCAGAAAAAAAGTAATTTTCTTTTTGTGTGTGTAGTTGGTGTTTGTTTTGTTTTAGTATCAGTGTATTTTATACTGTCTTTACCTCACCCTAAATATTTTTCATCATATGGTTTTATGTATTTGGCATGCAGCTTGACAGCATGAGGCCTCCACAGGCTGCATCATCAATGACACCATACATGGACAGTGAAGTGCTTCTTCACAACATTCAGAGGATAGTGCAGGTGAGACAGTGCAGAGCTGCTCGTGATTTACACACCTACATATGCTTACAAAGTACACATATGTTTCGTTTTAAAGCAAAAGCCTTACTTGTCCCATTGAGCAACAAATCGGAGTAAATGGCCATAAAATGCGATAGACCGGCACACACCACTTAATCGTATGCTCAAGGACGCCCTTCGTCCTCGCGGTAATCCTAGAAGTCATCCGAGACCTCTAGGACGACCACACTTGTCACAGTACGTGAGAAACAAACAGCATTCATCTGCGTTGTGATCGAAGTGTGGCCCTAAAAATATGTTGAGCATCATCAGCGTGATGTTGTCGAGCGTCATCATACGTCATCAGCGTGATGTCACCACGGGAGTGCCGCGTGCAAAAGATGTGCTTCGGACTTCAGCTGTGCTCTTTGTGCGCTTCGTGCGATTGCGATGGACTGTGAGGTGACCACGTCTACACCTACAGCGGCTTCCGTAGGCAAGCGTGGCCCCCCACGTGGGGGATCAGTGGTCGAGTGGGCTAGCGCGCACCAGCTCGAAGCACATGGAGCGAAAGCTCGCGCTGCAGAAACCAGGAATCATGGGTTCAATCCCTACCCCTGCCCGTTTCGATCTGGATGAGCATCGTACCGGCGTGCGGTCGTGTATCACTACTGCATGATGCACGTTAAAGACCCTAGGCCAGTGGTTGTACTGCACTGGTTAAATTGCTCATCTACGAGTGACTTGTCGCAACTTTGAAATGGCTGACCAACTACACACTGTATAAATATTCACACAACTCCCTGAAAAGGGCCCCCCACGCAGATACGCCACAGTTAAGTGTCCTCCTCTAGGCGGCGTCTTCAACGTCGTCCTATACACTCCGTGCGGGAACTATAGGGGGCGCTTTGAAAAACGCGCGCAGCGCCGCTAGCGGAGGAGCTGGCGTTCGACTGTGAGGCGCGTTGAGCTGCCTGCGGCGCCTTTTCGCATGCCAAGCTGTGGCGGCGGAAGCGAGCACGGACGAAACTTTTGCTTTTTGAGCCGATAAGTTGAGGGTGGCGTTGCATGAGTGCTGGGGCAGAAGAGCATTTAGCTGTTCTCCACTTCTTACGTATTGAGTTTGAGTCGTTATTAGGGGTAATTTCTCTAGCTGCGGCCGAAAAAGGAGTTGGAGCTATTTTCCGAAAAACAAGACGGCCGCCACCATAATTGCTCTGAGTGGGAAATTTCTTTCGCTCGTCGCTGTAAACCTAGGACTGCTGGAACGATGATATTTGGAGGCGAGTGAGATGTTCACTAAGTTTGTGCACGAAGAGTGCCAAGTTTCTTTAAGACAGCAGGTGTGAAGGTTATGTTTCTAACGAATAAAGAAATAAAGCTGTACGGAATATCCAATATTGGACCCAAAATGTTGTGCTATAGTGGGCTGTGCAAAGTGCAGATTTGGGCACACAGGTTCTTGGACTTGACAGTAACATGACACAGCACTTAATATACAAAAAAAAAAAAGGTGGCATAGGGAGAAGGTGAAAATTTGGTTTGGACGGCGTAACTCAGTGGGAACCGGTTTTGACCATGAAAAGGCTGTCAAGAGAATACCACTGGTGGGGGAGGTGGAGACTTTAGAGGTAGGAAGGGACTAGTGGACTGTACTTCCAATTGAAACAACTTTACGAAAGGTGGTTCCAAAGCCGAGAAAACAAAGTTGTCGGCCAACACACTGTTTGGCCACCAAGGGCTTTTGCGGTCAGCTGTTGTGTAATAACCTGCTGTGCGAAGTGCTGATTTTCGGCGCACAGGTACTTTGACATGACCGTCACTTGGCACAACACTTCTTTTAACAAAAAGAGTTGGCATAGCGAAACCAGGTGGAAATTTAGTTTGGGCAGCGTAACTAAATGGGAACTGGCTTTGACCGTCAAAGGCTATCAAGAGAATACCATTCATCGTGGGAGGTGCACACTTTACAGGTAGGAAGGGACCAGTGGACCGTGCTTCCAGTTCGAACCACTTTGCGATAGGTGGCTCTAAAGCCGAGAAAAAAAATTGTTGTCTACGGAACTCGGGGTGTCAGCGTTTCCACATCCAAAAAGGAGGCTGATCCAGAAAAAAAGCACACCACATAAACTTCTATACTCAAACGTCGATTCTCCAGTGATTCCGGGTTTCATTATTGCTTTCTTTAGATTTATATTTGTCACTTTTTTTACCGTTCGAATCTTTCTTCATGAAGTACAGATTGCGTGCCATACTTGTCCGGAAATATCGTCGACATGTGCGATGGGGACGAAACTTCCTTGGAGGGCATTTCTCCAACGAAATTGGCACTTCATACCCGCGAGTGTGGGATGGCATTTAAGTTCGTCCCATCGGCGCTGACACATGTAGGCGTTACTGGTACGAAACCAAACGCAGAGCGCAAAGCGGCTGTGTAGAATATGTCAGCCGTACCGACACAGTGGCAGACATGATCGGGAGACCAAATTTCTCGCGTCGTACGGCACGGCTCCATCGTTGTCGCTGTCCCGCAAAACGTCGGCGAGGTGAAAAACTGTGAAACTTTGTCTCCACGAGATACGACGCATAACTATTGAAGCACTTAATGACGCAGCACAGGCAGCATTTCGTGCTGTGAACCCAGCGCAACCGCACCACTCCGACTTCAGTGCGTACCAACGTACGCGGCGTGGTTTCGGTTTCGTTTTCTCTGGGGTTCTCACTGCCTACCCTCGGTACCGGCCGCGCGGCGGCGCGCCAGTTGCGTCGCACGGAGTGTATACTATGTCCTAAACTTTAATACATGTAGAAACATTACTCTAATACTTTTTTCTCAGGGAACTATAATGCTTTCGCCTTCCTACAGATAAGCAGTCTTAACTGCACTCTTGTAATTTTTCTTTGTACCTTAGGCCAAACTGTGTTCACAAGGTAACAAAACATTGGCTGTATTTTGTATGCTTTCGGGATTGGAAATAAACTGTGGGATTTATTTATGCTATATAAATCGCATGATATTTTTTTCGTTTTTTTTTAGTTAATTTTGTTATGAAAAGGCAACCTTCCCCACATGCTCTCAAACATGATGGACAACACAAATTCCCTCTTCTCAGCTCTACTTTTTACTCTCCTTCATCCTTCCCTTGGCAACACATAAGCATTACATTGTGTAGTGTTGCTTGGCAATAACTGAGTAATCTGTTTGGGGTTTTGATTATATATTTTGTGACAACCTGTACTGAGGTAGAATGGTGCATGGACAAGCTTTCTTTCTTCACTGTTGCAGGAGAACATCAAACTGAAAGAGGAAAGCGGCGAAAAGGGCAACAAGATCCAGGCCCTCAACGAAAAGATCTGTGACCTGCTGCAGAGAAACCAGAGGCATGTCTCTAAACTTTCGGTCCTTTGGTCCTTGAAGGGGATGAGCAAGCCTTGTGTTATATTGATTGTGCTTTTCTTGGAGAGAAACCTTTAGCATCTTCTCAAATACAGCCCAGTTCTTGCCACCAAGTATGCTTTTTTTCCTTTCCCACAGGTTCATGGAAGAGAGTAACACCATGCTTGAGCAGAGAAGCGACTCGTTGCACAGTTCTGCTGCCCACTCTCAGGCAAGGTTGCACACTCTGGAGAAAGAAAAGGCAAGTTGCTGCTCTCTATCTTTTGTTTTTGTACATTTATGCAGGTAAACGATTTTAGGATGATTGCTAGAAGTTTTTTTTTACCAAGGTTCAATGCCGATCACCAAAACATTGTCCACCCCACTTTTTGGGCAAGATATTGATCTCTTAAAGAGTACCGAAAGATTGCCTACCCTCGTAGAAACAAAACCGCAGATCGCAGGAGCCTAATAAATTCCTTGACACTGCTTACAAACTGAGGAGTTTTCGGCACCAAGGTTTTCACTCTTCGATCTCGGGGACTTCTTTGAATGGCAGCCTCCTTTTTGGTCTTGCTCTTGGTACAGAGAAGCTGTGTCGAAGTTTACAAAGATTGTTAGCAAAAATGCATATAATGGGAAGTGTCTGGTCCATATATATATATATATATATACACTGTTTTAGCAGACCGAGCCACTCATTGGTAGCTCGATCTGCTTATATATATATATATATAGCAGATCGAGCGACCAATGAGTGGCTCGATCTGCTAAAACAGTGGTTAAATTTGAAGTACACTTCACTTAGGGGCAGGCACGGTCAAGGAAATGCTTGGGGAATCCTGGAGGGCATTCTGGGAAGTACTAGCTACCCAGCTTGAGAACTCGTGTCTTATGTAATAATAATTGAAAGGTGTAATTTGGTTTGTTTGCTACTATCATAAGGAGAAGAGCATTGACTTTATTTGGGGATCATTGGTTTTGCAGCTGGAAGTAACTGAAAAGCTGAATGAGGCCCAGTCGCTCGTGTCAAGCCTGAAAGCGGAGCTGTCCGAGAAGCAGCAGAGGGACTCGAAGATGCAGGAGCAGCTGGAAGAACTGCGCAGTCATTCGCAAGGTGGGCTGCCTCTCGAGACGTGTTCGGGGTCACTCGTAAAACTCTGCGATGGTCTGGCGCAGGTGCAAAATATTATACCATCTGCCTGACCATGCAAGCAGTGTTGGCTACGGTATCTTTTTTTTTTTTTTCATTGATTTTTTAATGCATATTTTTAAAAGGTAGTAATGTAGACAGTTGAAACTGGAAAATTGAAATGATCTATCTCCCAGTGCATTCCAGCGAGGGTGTTATATGTCTGCTTATTCCTCTTTGGAGTGAGCATGCTGCCCGGGCATTGGTACTTGATTCAATCTTTGTCCCATGCTTTGTGCGCAACGCATTATTCTTCTCAGGCCTGAGCCAGACAGAGGAATATCTTTGTTGGATGAGGTCAGATTCATTAACGAAAATTAGAGGTGTGCGAATATCAAAATCTTTTTTCAAATTGAATCGAATAGTAAAGGTTACGAATCAAATCTAATATAAATATTTTCGAATATGAATATTTTTTAGTACAAATATTTTCTATCTGATGTGAATTAAACAAGGATACTTGATCAAAACACAACTGGAATTCTTTTTCAACCTACATACTTATGAAAAGGTTCACTTTATTATTGCAATAATAAAAATGTCACATGGGACTGATAAAAAGTATCGGATAAAATAATACTAGTAAAACAGAATTCAAGGAGTAAAGTTACAGAATGTTGTCATGAAGAAACATAAGTTTTTCCACATGTTCTGGGAGTAGCAGTACCCTTTTGCTGGTGACTATTCCCCCAGAAAATTGAAAAAAAGGCGCTCACTAGACATACTTGTGGCCAGTATGGTTATGGTACCTTCTTGCGAGTCAAGTCAACAGGGGGTATCTTGTGACAACCTTTTCACGCCACCACTTGCAAGGATCCTTTTCGCGAGCCAGGACATCTTCGTGCAAGTAGCCTGCTACCTCTTCTTCAGCTTGTGGCATTGAATGCTGCTTTCGTTTAATAAGGCTGTCAAAGTTTTGCCACAGCTCTGACCTGAAAAGAACTTTAGGGGCCGTTTACGCTGAGGGCACCTGCGCTTCTCCGTGCCTCAGAAATTTGTTGCACCTCCTCAACTCCCAGGTTCTTGAGCCAGTTCCCCATTGATTTGTCCTCTTCATAGACCACTGCCTCGAACCTTGGGTCTAGGAGCATTGTCAAGCTTGCTACTTGGTCAAATTTGTTGTCAGGAAATCTTGTCTTGAGGCACTTGGCTAGGTGAGCTGAGAACGAGGAAGTCGCGGTCTGCTGGCTGATGGAGTTGTTCAGGCATGCAAGGATGCAATACAGGATGGGTATCTGGGCTGACAATGTTGGTTAGCTGTCAGCTCCAGCATTGGTCGTTGCTTCTTCTCGTGGCTTCAGAATAGCAAACTTGCTCATTTCCCACCGCTCTGTTCCAGTCAAGCCTTCGGTAGGCCCAACTTCAGATGGAAGGTCAACAGTTATGGCTTCTCTCAAGGTGGGACACTACCTGGGCATGTCTACTTTTAAACCGCTCGTTCAATTGGCGTGAAATTTGCAGGTGGTGTTTACAGCCATATAGGAGGAGGGCATGCAAAGTTTCAGCCCTGTAACCAATTTTATGAGGTACTATATACCCCCCCAAACGAAGTAAAGCATAGCTTTGCATGGAATCTGGTCAATGAATCTATCGTTGAGAAATGGTGTTGATCACCACATATTTTTATGGTGGAATGCTTACTGGAATACTTGTTGCCGGTTACTATGAAAAGAAATTTTAAAAAATATGCATTTTTCAGGGGAAAAGAAATGTATGAAATTATTATTTTTTTTTACATTTGCCAAGTTTTGCAAATTACAATTTTTCATATAAAGGAACATGAAAATGCAAAATCAAAGTTCATAGTAACTGGCTCGATAAAATTTCGGCATGTAAGCCGCAAATATTAAGCCTATCGATAGTTTCATACTAAAATGATTGTTTTATAAGGTAGGATTTGCTGCCAAAAAGTGAAGCTGAGTTAAATGCACTTGAAGTTTCAAGATGACATTTTAAAATTTCTTTTTGCATCTTAAATGTCAGAAATTCTTTCCAGCAGTGTAGGTGAAGTCTTCATCAAACTTCTTCTGATATGCTGACATTGCTTTCAGCTATTTTCACTTTTGGATGACGAGTGCTACGCAGTGTAGCACGCCTCACCAACATATAAAGAATATTTATTTTTTACATTGTTTGTCAGTGCACAGTGACAGGACTTTGTGAGAGTGTTCCTTTTTATCCATGCATGCCAAAACTGCAGTTCTGAATAGGCATTTTTTTAAAAAAAGGTGCAATTCAAGGTAGTGTCCCCCCTTAACTCTAAAAGCCTGGACAGCATTACAGATTCACTATTCCACCGTGTTTCGACGTCCTAAACGACATGCAGTGGGAATCCGCCCATTTTCTTCTGGTAACAGCTGAGCCTTTTCTGTGCTTTAGGGCTATGTTTATAATGCCTCTTCTGTTTTTACAAAGCACAGAAAGTCCTAAAGTCATCTCTTTCACGTCAATGATGACCAGTTGTAACGTATGAGCAAAACAAGTTCCCCAAGGAAGTGCATGAGTGGCTGTTCTGATATTGCGAGCATCGTCAGTCGCCACATAAAAGGGGCAAACGTCCTTGGGAATGTCCCAGTCTGTAACAAGCTTATCAAGATCTGAGGTGATTCTAACTGCTGTGTACTTTGCTGGGAAGTGAGACAGGCACTCAAGTTGTATCGAGTAAGCTTGAACTGCGAGTCCAGGAAGTGGCAGGTCAGGCTGATGTAGTTATCATTCGTTCTGGACGTCCACATGTCAGAGGTGAACGAGAGAGACTTCATGCCACTCTCAAATGCATTCTGTAGCTCATGCCGAACCCTCTTCCTGGTATCGTCGTACAACTTCGGCACTAACGTGCGCGACAGCGTTGTTCTCGATGGTAGCAGATAACCTGGGACTGCCTCCTTCAATAAATTCTAGAATCCCCAGTCTTGCACAATTGTGTACGGTTGCAGGTTGAGTGCAACCATCTTAGCATTCTTCAGCTCCAAAGCCCGAGTTTCATGAGTTGCGCCTTTTTTCTGTGGTGTTGCGCTTTTGTAAAAATTTCTATGTATTCTCAAAGAAAATTCTCACCCATTACACGGGATTTTAACAAACTTTTTCGGCGAATCACGACGAACGAGCAGAAAATGTGTCTTCAGCATGCTGCCGCCCAGACTCCACAACGCTCCAAAAGGTATTTTCTGTGTCCAAAGATGGCCGTCCGGTGGCCGCACTTGCGCTCCAGTGAACAAGCGGGGATGCACGATCCAGCAAATAGTCAGAGATCAATGGTAACTACTGTAACAAATATTCCTAAAAGCCAAGGTCAGCTGTAAATCCATATCCATATCAGCTTGGCTCTGTAGGCTCTGATTTAGTGCACATGAGTTAGCAGCTGTAGCACGTGCTGTTGCAAATCATAGTCCTTTATCAAATTTATTGCAGCAATGGTTCCGCTTTATGTTTGCGTCACTTCCACTGCGCGAACTCTGCAATCCAGACATCACGACAAGCGAAAAACAGATCACGCTATTGCGTGCAAATGACTTTCCATTTCCAATGCTTCATAAAAAGAAAATAAAAAAATGCACTTACATTTGTTTTTTTGGGTTTGCCAAGTTCGAAACCATACTGTGCAGTCCAAAAACAAACTGGGAATGTGACTGCTGGTTGAAACTAACGAGCGAGTTCCACTTTATTCATAGTTTTTGAATATTTGAAGAACTCGAGTGCTTCAGACAGTAAATGTGAGGCAAATTGAATCGAATAGCAAGCACTATTCGTGAAGTATTCGAAGTTTTGAATATTTGCACACCCCTAACCAATAATTTATAGTTTAGTTGAGTGAGTTCCCAGAAAGCATAAATGCCTGTTCATTTAGAAAAAAAAAAATATCCTCTTTAAATTCCTTTTTTCTTTTTTTTTTTTAGAAAAGGAGAATATTCTTTTGTCTCTTGAAAACAGCCTGAAGGAAGCGAGGCAACAAAAACATGAGCTGGAAGCAAGATTGGCAAAATTCGAGGAACAAGTCTTGGACTTGGAGCGCCTGAAGAATAACCTCGAAAAGGTACCATGGAGGATTCATAGGCACAGCCGACCCTGCTCTTTGACATGGTACAGTGATTGGGGGCACCTACTCGCTGTTACTGTCTTCTTGCAGAACTTGTCTGAAAGGACACAGAAGCTGCAAGACGATAGAAAGAGAGCCGATGAGGAGCTGGATGATGTCAAAATGACCCACGAGGTTAGTTTTAAAATTAATTGGTAAAGAAGGTATGGTTCGTGCTGTGGTGATGTTAAAAAAGAAATTCTTCGAAACATACTTTCCAAATTGCTTTGAAAACCCAATTCCTTTTTTGTTTTTTTCCGTGATCTGAGATGATTTTACCCGCGTGGTGATAGTTTTGTGATAAATATTCTATGCATTTGTACAACACTGGTGATTCAGTGCACATTGTTCTTTCTTGTGCATACTACCTACTGGACTTGCGAGGTATGCAACTCAAGCCTCTAGTAATGTAGATCTGACTAATTGAAAACTAAAAGTTTCGATTCTGGTTTAGCATTTTCTTAATTTGTGTTTTCATTGTTTTTACATCAGAAAGAAATTGAGAGGTTGCAGACCAAACTGCACCAGCTGATGGCTGCACAATCTTCCCAACAGGTGGGTGCTGCAGGGAAAGCCATGAGTAAATAATAATATAAATACAGTGCAATCCACTTATGGTGTACTCCTTGTAACAATCAGTACTCCTTATAACACTGTACTCCTTATAACAATCAGTTTCTAGACTAGAAGCAACCAGTTTCTAGTCCAGATACGACAATTGGTTGTAACGATTGAATTTTGGGGTTTTTTCGTTATCGTTATAAGTGGATTGTACTGTATATGAGTAAATATAGTCGGCAAGCTGTGTTAACGTACAAAAAAAAGCTATGAGGAAATGGAAGTGGGCTTCTACTCTCATTTTTGGTAGTTCAATTTGTAACCTTTGCAATCAGTATGCAGACTGTATGCTTATGTTGAGGGTTGTGCAGAGGCGTATTTCAAGACTAGAAAAAAAGGGCTAAAATTGCAAGGCTCAAGTTTTTATAGATTCCGTATCGGCAATTTTAATATCTAGAGAGAAAATAATTTTGCTGTTATCGGCAGCAACTAACAAGGTATAATATTTGCAAACTGAGTGAAGAACTTCGTACCCTAGAATCGTTTCTTAACTTTAAAAGCACAGCTGTCACTAAGGTACATATGTATAATTATCACTGATTAGTGTGTTCAACACTTTTTTTTCTCGCAGCACTCAATATTTAAAGAAATAACTCATTTTACCATAATCCCAAGTAGCATTAGTAGTAGTATTGATTTTTAATAAATAAACAATTACCAGAATTTACTTCGAGCTTGAAAACTACTTCAGAATACATAAAAAAGTGGCAATTTTTGTTCCTGAACATACTGATTGGTGCTTGTCACAAGAAGCTTGTTTTAGGACTGAGCTGATGCAACTAAACTCTGATTTTTTTTTTGTGTGTAGTTATTAATCTTGAGCAAACAATTGTGCCAGTAGGTTTAAATCTCAGAACATTAGGCATATTATTATGTTCTTTTATGGAATGTTTAACATCAGGTTGCAGATCTAGAGGCGGAATTGCGGAACGAGTGGCAGGCCAGGTGTGAAAAGCAGGTTGCAGAAGTAGAAAAAAAACTTGGCCAAAGACTACAGGAGCTGGAAGAAGAAAAATGTCAACTGGAGCAAAAACTTAGAAAACTGCCTAGTGAGGTGAGATCTGTTTTGTGATTCTTATGACATCAGGTGAGTGCCTGGTTCTCACAAATCACTTGATCGGTTTCAGTCAAGCCTTAGTGTGACCACTGGAAGTGTTAAGGAGCTTGCAGAGCTCGGAGAAGAAGTTGAACGTCTAAGAGTTTGGAAAGTTAAGGTGAGTGACCTCGGTGAAACTATACCACCTTTGTCTTTGCAACAATCCTGGTGCAGTACAATTTACAGCTTCATTCACTTCATTCTCACATTCACAATTGATGAGGAACATGCATGACAAAAACTTGCATGATAATACCTAATAAATAATGCAGGATGATGAATATTCGAGTGCACAACTTCAGATGTTATTGAACCTGGGATTGTTAAAAACATTTTTGGGGTGATATATAATATGTTATGTTCCGGTACCAGGCTTAGTATATTAACTATACTAAATACATATCTTGCATTCTCTTGTAGTATGAAGAATTGAGTAGAAGCAAGGATGAAGCAGCTGATGCATATGAAAGTCGGATTAGGAAACTGCTGTCTGAAAACCAAGCCTTGAAATCTTCTGGTGGACTTGCTAATGCTGCTTTTGATTTTGATGCTGAGGTAAGAATTTTTTTGTTTCTGAATAGGGAGCATACGATGAGAGCTAGTAATTTGGGCTGCAATAATTTTATTATCTCAATGAATGCGTCCTAATTACCTTATGATATTAATGGATTGCCTTGCAGCTCAAAAAGATAATGAACACACTGTTCAGGCTGCTACAAAGAGAATTCAGCTGTGCAGAGTCTTATTCTAGGAGTGAAGCCACCTCCATCATACTGGAGACCATCAAGGTAAGTGTATTAAGTTTAGTTTAATTATTTTCGTGTGAAACAGGTGGAATTCTGTTTTTAAGCTTTCAAAGGGACAAGGCTTCTTGGAACTGCGACGGCGAGATGGGTGGATGGTGCATGTTTTAGGTTTACTATCACCTTACTTGATCAGCCAAAACATAGCCCATGAATTATTGAGGCATTTATGAAACACTACTATTTCTGGCTGCTGTATTGCATCACTCCTATGCTATTTCATATTAAAATTTACTAAGCAACACAGCATAATCAGTAATACGCTAGGGGGATTTGTTTACTGATGCAACTAGGGCTTTTGTATTCAAATACAAATTAGAAGTCTTCACTCTCTGCTCTAATCGCCTTGCAAACCTAAAGCTGTACCCTTGTGTTAGGTACTCACTTAAATGGTTGAAAAACGAGACTGCAACATGTTGGATATGACAAAAGACAGTGTTGAAAGGGCTGTGCCAAATAGCCAACATTTTTTTGCCATAGCTACCAGATGTTAGGGTACATGATGTATTATTACAGAGGCTTCAGAACTTTAAGGTTACGTGTTTTACCAAACTTTTCATCTTTTTTTAAGTACTACACCACTGAAGTGCTCAAGATGAGACATTCCAAAACTTCTACAGTGGCAACTGGGTCTGGTGATGGCTCCTCACGTAAGTGGAACATTGCCACATCTACCACCATGTGCAGAAACTTGCGACATGTAAGACAGCACATAGAAGCAGTAACATTTTTGGCTCTTTTATCCAGAGAACCCGAAAGAAGGAGGCACAGAAAGCAAGACCAGCAGCACGAAGTCAGAAGTGCATTCTGAGCCTGCAGCGAAGGATACTGGCTCTGCCATGATGGCCAAGTTTTCCGAACCGCCTGCAGCAACTGAAGCTGCAACTGAAGTCAAAACAGGAAGTGCAGATGCAGGAAGTACAGATGCAGGAAGTACAGATGCAGGAAGTGCAGATGCAGGAAGTGCAGATGCAGGAAGTGTAAATGCAGAAACTGGAGATGCAGGGAATGGAGGTGCAGGGAATGGAGGTGCAGGGAATGGAGGTGCAGGGAATGGAGGTGCAGGAACTGGAGATGCAAGAAACGGAGGTGCAGATGCTGGAGACATGCATCCCCGATTGGAAGGTGACTCAAGCGAAGTTGCAGCAGCTGAGGAGAAACCAAAGCAAGTTCAAGAGGAGGATGCTCCAGCATCAGGTTAGAACAGCATTAAAGCAAAAGGCTTTTGCTTCCGGTAAAAATTGTAGCAAGACTGCTAAAAGTTCCCGGAGAGGTGTGACCAGATTTTTTTTTTTTTTCTAGCAGATAGGGACTTGCTAGAACAGCATATCCTCACAGGTGGTGCAACTGCACACAGTGTCGTCCTGGCTGTACCCAAACTGTTTGAATATTCAGCTTCTACTTTGTTAATCAAGCAGGATATGACTGTTTCCAATTACTTGTATGGTTTGCATTATAGTCCGCATTGCAAGATTTTATTTCGCTGCCCATTGACAAGCGTATGCTGCGTTGTGTTAGACTTTAGAAAATATAAATGTGTTTGCTTGCATCTATTTTAAAAAAAGGTAATAGAATTTTATATCGAAATAATGTTTGCCTGTGAAAAAAAATATAATCTTCTGGTGATTGGCACTTAAAAAGCACATGCAAAAGAAAAAAAAAAACAGCTTAGGTGGAGAAAGAATGTAATAAAACGAATTTACAACGAAGAAAAAAAATTTTACGGCGCAAAACAAATATGTAGTTGGCGCCGCCGCTGGTCATGCAGTAGACCTGTGCGCCACCGCACGCTGAGCGTGGTGCGCCACCAGTTCAACTTGTTTCTCCACGCCGCCGCCGCCGGAAGGGAAAACTCTGGAGCGCTGCCTCCAAAAGGGAACCCGCCACGGTCAATTTTTGACGGGCGCACAGGTCTAACTCGTGGTGCTTGTGCTTTTTCAGGAGCTTCCTTTGGGATCTAAGTTACTTATTAATCTTAATTTCTTCTTGCACTTCAAACGAAGACGAATAAGCAACTTTTAAAGACCATAGGAACTTTCCGAAAGACCGCAAGCTCCACGTGATAAATAGCGGCCACTTTTCCACGGCGCCCGCGGGTGCCAACTACAAATTCGTTTCATGCCGTAAATATAGCTCTAAAAAGTTTTCTTTTTCATTGAAAATTCGTTTTATGACTTCCTTTTCCCATCCAGGCTGTTTAAAAAAAAAAACTTTTTTCTTTTGCACCTGTCCTTTAACTGCTCTTGATACATTCAAAGCTTTATTTTTGAGTTCCGTACAAATACATTAACAAGCTAGAGGTCCTAGTTTCAAATTATATATATATTTTTTTTAACATTGTTTCTTTTTGGATTTTATTGCCTACATTGGGTTACCCTATTAACAAGGCTTATATTTTATGTGGTCCAGACACTATGTTAACCTTATTGATTTGGTATTTAATGTTGGGGAACTGTACTACCCTGTGGGCCAGATTAATCTAACACTTAAATTGGAAAAATCTGTTTGCCATACTGCTATACTGTTGAGACCGGTTATAACGAAATAGTGGCTACAGTGAAGTGATCACGATTTCCCATTCAGTTTGCACTTTTACAATAAATTTGTGTCTGCTTTTAGCGAAAAAAATTGAGCGACTCCCGCGGATATGGGAAAAAACATTTTGTTATAATTTAAAAAAAAATTACCGCATCTCTACGTGGTGAATGATGTTGATTGGGGCGAAGCTCTGGTGGTGCTGATGATACTGATTTTATTGTTCATAGGTACTGCTGATGGTGCTGATTTGTTTTTATTGCTCATAGGTAGTGCTGAGTTCCGGGTTGCGTTTAGACTTCATTATTACTGCTTTATGGTCGGTGAAGTGCCGAACCAGTGGTTCTTCTAGCGGACCAGCTTGGATCTGCTAGAAGCCGTGGGAACGCATCTCCACCGCTTCAGTCAACCGTCCATGTCAGAAAGAGACTGTGTGGTATGGAACGTGGTTATATACGCATTTGAGCATTTGACCGCAGCGCCCTCTCGTCTATAAACGTTGAGCCAATGCATACAAAGTTTAACGCGATTATATACGCATTTGACCGCAGCGCCCTCTCCTGTATAGACGTTGAGCGGCTACATGCAACGTTTCATCCATGACAGAAACCCCAGCTCTTGAGTTACTACCACACCTCAGAGCCCCCTACTCGTCCCGCAGTCGTGGCCGAGTGGTTAAGGCGATAAACTAGAAATCCATTGGGGTCTCCCCGCACAGTTTCGAATCCTGTCGACTGCACAAACATTTTTTCTTTTTATGTGAGCACGGACGGACGGACAAGGCTAGACCCTAAAAAGCTTCGCCCCTAAAAATCGGAAAGTTTACTAAGTCTTTGATTGCCGCATTTTGCTGCTGCGGCCAAGAAGCCACCCAGAATAGGCTGCGAAAAATGCTGCAAAGGCCGCTGGCGGCAGTATCTGCAACGTCGTCTGCTCCCTGCTCCTTATCTGGGAAGCAGCTTTACCGCATCGCAAGCGGAGAAGCCGTCGTGGCATGCCGATAGGGGCATTCGGAGCGCTAGCGACAACGTACCGGCGGAGATGATGGAGAGAGCCTAGATTTAAGAGAGAAAGCAGTCAGTACGCCTGCATTTGATTGTCACGTGGCCAGTGTGTGGAGGAAACTGGGCGGAGAGGCGGACACGTCTGCAGAGGTGAATGCTTCTGAGTTTTGACTTCTTGCATGCTGCAGCTCGTTTTGCAAATGCGGCCCACAAACCACGTGACCCCGATCAAGCAGTTGCCCCATCTCTTAAATCTAGGCTCTCTATGCTGACGACAGACAAGCTGAAGCGCGAACTCGGTGCCATGCGCGCTTTTTTGTTTGCTTCGTGATCCGTGTCGGCGTCTGGTCGGTGAGGTCGCTCTTGCGCAAAAGTCTACATTGCTCAAGCACCGATTCGGTGAATCATCACCGCTCTACAATGATAAGTCCTGGCACCGCCGGCACCTCGACGGGGAAGATGAAGGCAATTTCTCTGAATCAAAAGCGTACCATCTTCGATGGAGTGCGCATAAATGTAAAGGATGTCATCCTCGGCGGGGTGGTCGCAGCTGTCAACACGGTTCGTACATAGCAGAATCTTTTTTCGATCGGAGCTTCTTGCAGTTGGCAAGAAGCGGCTCCGATCTAGCAGAGGACGCATGCAGGGAAGCCTCGACCGCTTTCTGCAGGCTCGATAAACATGTGCCTGTAACAACCTGTTTTATCTTTTTTTTTTTTTTTTTTTCATGTTATTTGTACGAGTTGATATATAACAAAAAAGCGGATGTAGCGAATAATTGTATGAGTTCATATATAACAAAGAAGCGGATATAGCGAAGCGATTTCCGATTCCCGTTGGCTTCGTTATAACCGGTCTCGACAGTGGACCCTTTCCGAAATTCAGTCTAGCCACTTTGATCACCATCATCAAGGCGGCCTTCTGTTTGCTGATGAAGGAACATTCAAGACGTTAGCGTTAGCACGTTGCAAAGCAGGAATTGAATGCAAGAGCTGCGTAAGCGTTCATTTCTATAACTCGGGCCCAGTCAATCTGTTAGTAGCACAGAGTTGACTTCAAAACCCCTTGATGTATAGAACTTTGTCATGGCGTCTATCTGGGTTGGCGCTTCGTTTTGACTGGTTGTATCTTTGTGGCCATCGACACTGAAAGAGATGATCGAGAAAAAACTGTAGAGTGAAGAGCACATTCTCATTTGCCGTTGACTTGTGAAAGTGACGGTGCCCGATAAAATACTGCAGGCTACAGGTCCATTGCCGCGATTAGTACGGCAAAAGTTAAACCACCATTTCAGCCACCAGATGGCACTGAATTTTGGTAAGGGTCTATACCAGGGGTGGCCAAACCGCGGCTCTTTGCTGGTTCAAGTGCGGCTCGCGGATCCCTCGTGAGGGACCCCCCCCCCCCCCTTCCCGCATTTCCCCATGAAAAAAAGAAGGGATTTCAGGCAGAATGAAGTGCGACTCGGGGTTTGGCAGCCTTGTACCTCCATACGTACTGTCGTACAGCCTTGTGCACTCCTACGTACAGTCAGACTCTGAACATAATTTAAACTTGCCCCCCCCCCCTCCCCCTCCCCCCCCCCGTGGCTTTTAAAAGTTTCGTGGTTTCGTTTGCGGCTCTTAGGCCTGGTCGGCCTGGCCACCCCTGGTCTATACTGTCATTTACCATAAAAGTGAGCCTAGTTGGTGATTTGTTTTCTGAAAATGTAACGGGAGACTTGCCCGAGTCAAAAGTTACAAATTGAAAACCAATATTTTCCTTTGACTTAATATTGAATTAAAACCCCTTTCAAGTCGAAGTTTAAAAATATAATATTTTTGTCTCTTTTGTTTAATCAAATATCATTTGGGCACTTGATTGGGCAAAAATGGGAACTTTTGTTTTTATGGAAAAAACAATGATAACATCCCACCCACAAGTTTTTTTCACCATGACCTCAAAAAGGCTTAATCTCCATATTGAACCATGAATATTTTGTTTTTATTTGTAACTTCTGATTGGAAAGTTTTTCCTTTGATATTTTTACAAAGCCACCAGATTACCTTTCATCATAACTTAATCTCACAAAACGCAAAACTGATTTTTTTTTTTTTATTCAGAATGTAGTGGATTAGATCAATCTTGCCCATCGGGTATATCTTGGATGCAGTAGTGTCATCTGTGAAGAAGTCTAACTGCCAGCACGACACATGCAGGGTCTGTTTACAAAAGACAGTTGTGTTCCTTCACCTTCATGTTACGCCTTGGTCCCGATTCCCAAGTAATCTGTGCATGTGTTTGTGCATGTGCATGCATGTGTACCCTGCTTATTCTATGCTCTCGTCTTTTTTTAAGGTGATAATGCTGAGAAATCAGTTGTGAATGATCCAAAGAAGCAACCCAAAGTTGAGCCTGTGCCTGACTGGGTGAGCACATTACTTCTTTTGTAAAAAAAGACCATTGTTCCAAGGCATTTTAACATTGCGAATGATGCACGCAGTAGAGGTAACGTCGGCTTGTGCATATTTTTGTTGCCGCCTCATTGCTCAACTCGTGTACTGGCAGTTTCTTCGTGGTTATTCTCATTCGTGGCTGCTAATAATATGGTGTACTGTAGGCATGGTCATTACCACGACAATGTCAGCTGATTTTTTTATAACCTTCCTAACATGTTTGTTTTTACTAGTGTGAACTGCCCAATTTTTAATATATTGGTACTGCAGATTTTGTAAACTTTCATACGTAATAAACGCCCAATACCAGCAGCAGTTGAGCAAGGTGCCCCCATTTATTTGTTAGTCAGTGGTTCATTGGTCAGCTTGTAGTGCAAAATCTATTGTCCGTCTCCTTCTGCTCTAGATCAGAGACTGCACTTGTGGAATTTTTTACGTTATATAGCTTTTTGCTAATGTTTTGTTTTTTGATGCAATAACTGGTGGCTGGGCCTGCTTCTGCTTTAAATCAGTCTACTGACGTGTTTCCTCAGGATCCCCTCCCCCTGCTCTGCCCTAGTCGCACAGAGGGCCGCAAAATTCCGCCATGGACGATTTTGCTTAGTTTGATCGCCCTCTTTGTAAGCCTGTTGGCAGTTGCGTACGGAGTATACTGAGGAAGGTAAGGAAACGACAGGGACCCTCATAGTTTCCCTTGGGGTCACGCGTCCAGTCCCCATAGCCCCTTTTCCCCCCTGCCCTTTGCTTTTTCTTTCTGCCCTTTCTGTGTCCGCTGCCCTTTGTTCAACTGCTGCTGCGTTCTTGCCACTGCTTTTTTTCCTGTAGCGTGACCTCAGCTTTTTTGTTATTGTTTACATTTGTTTACTTACATCTGCAGTATTTCTGTAGAACTCCCTTATGGTATTGTGAAAACGGAGCTCCAGCAAAATTTCGATAGTCACCCGTTTGCCTCAAAATAGGTTCAGCACACTAATAGACACATCAGAACCAATAACCCAAATTGCAATTTGTAAAATTTTCCCCCATCTTATGGAACTTTTAAATTTGGTCTGAGAGGCCGAGTAGTCTTATCAGCAGCACTGAAAATGCGACGTCAAATGTGATGTAGAGGCAGTACAGCTTGTTTCCAGTGAGTTAAGAAGTCTGACTGTGTGAAATGAATGCTAAAAAAACTCACACCACTAAAAAAGTAAAAAAAATTGCAAATTATTGTTTCTTAGATTGCCTGTTTGACTTGGAAAATTTTACATGTGACCTTGCCCCACTAAAAAATGTTAATTTGTTGTTTTCTCAATAAACTGGTATTTTGAATTTGGAGGTAGTAAATGGTATGCTGGGAAGGGTACAGCCTAAGTATTCCAAAAACATGTTTAGTTTAGGTAGCTCAAGGAACTGCCAGGGCATTACTACTCATCGTCATAGACTCGGTCTGTTGAATTGGCTAACCCTTTGCTTAAACAAGGCCTGGAATGATGACACTCTGGGTTGCATGCAGTGATGGACCCAAGGGGAGATTTGGGTACACTTCCTGCCCTCTTCATTTTACTTAGTGTGGGCTTTCTCTTAAGGATAGGTACATACGGCACTCTACCAAAATGGCAGTGACCTGTATATTTACAGAGCATGTAAAACTAATAACCATCATCAAATAAAGTTTTATGTGGTGGTTTAGGAAACCGAGTGAGAAATTGTAGAGGCACCTACGAACAGCTAAAACATCTTGGTCAATCACTTGTAGGATTTATTTATCTCATGAGAGTGTCCTTATGCAAGTATCTTTAGTGAACAGAATGACATCTGAAATAAAAAAATAAAAAACAATATTTGGCTGAACTTCGTTAATTTGTGAAATAAATTTAGTTCTCGTCTGTCTGATTAACCATCCACAGAAAGTGAAATGTCTCTTTTGTGGATATCAAGGTTTGATCTGCTTAAAAAAAAAAAAGTAATGCGGTAATATCTTGTCGTACTGCCCCTCAGGAACAGACGAAGCTAGACGAACTGGCCGAGGATAGCAATAAGCGTTATGTCTACTTTCACCCTAGGACGAAGGTACTGACCCATGCGTGCTTCCTGCGGCTCCTGTGCATGCTGCGTGTCGCACGCACTTGGCGCTGTCTTGGCAAGATGCATTGTGCACACGACAATGTCTTGTGCACCTTCAGTGCTTGTGCATGCTCCCTTTTTGTTCTGGCACCGTGGCATGTTAAAACTTCAGAAGACATGATTATATTAGGCTGTGCTGTTATCTGGTTACACCCACTGAGGACTAGGTTTTTCTATTTTCATTTCTGAGTGTCGTAAGCTGACCTTATGTCTCAATCTTAAACCCTCTAATGGCTAAAGGCTGTGAAAGCTTCAGATTTGAGCTTGTGAATTCTTGAAATGCCATGGTTTAGACCGACGTGCTAAGAGGGTCTTATCTTGCGATAAAAATTATCTTGGTTCTGAATGTTATATTATTTTGTTACTAGGTGGTACTATTAAAGAAAGTATGGCATACTTCTAGCTACTGAACACACAGTTATTTACAGTGTGCATGAGAAAACACCAGTAACTTTACTTTGTCTCATTATTGAGAACATTTCTGTCTACACTTTATTTTTAATTATGTTTCTCCTTTTCAGTCTTGGAAGCCCCAGCCCCCACCACCACCTCTTTTTGATGACGACGACGATGAAGACGACTGGCTAAAGTGATTTTTTTCCTGCCAACGGCACGACAGGGATACCAGTCTGCACTCTCTAGAGTAGTTTTATATTGTGGCATTGAGTATTTTACATATTCAATTAACCATTCCAGCTTCTACATTTCTCAGATCGAGCGGTAACTATTTGTTCAAAGTCGTGTTTGTAGATCGCAACATGACGCGAGTGTTGGCCATGTTGAGTAAATACTAAAGTGCACACAATGTAAATATATCGTAACTCTACAAATGCATTTGTGTGCCCATAGAAATGCAATATTTCCTTTGGCTTGACACGTTTGAGTAATATATTTCATTTTATGGGTTTGCTTTCATGATACCGGAGTGCAGAAACATTTTGCCAGACGTTTCGGAATATGTAAGACTGCACTTTGTGCAGAAGGGTTGAAAAGGCTTCATTTTCTGCATTCACAACACTGCTGTCTTATCCTTGAGATTTTCCTTGTGTGGCCCAGTCAAGTGGCCTTGAATAAATATAAGGTTCAGTGATGTGATTTCTGTGCCAAAGTGCTTACCCTGCTACGTTTCGCCGAAATGCGATGAAATCGTGCCAATATTGCTCCAAAACATAGTTTCACTTCATTATTACTGAAAATATTATAGCCGAGGCCCGCTACACGGCCAGATCGTTACGGTAGGCTTGTACTATTTTTCAGAACTTTTGAGTTTCGCCTTAATTAACACACTGCTCAATTTGATCCCTGTATATAAATTGCTCGGAAGTCTCGACATATTTCTCATGTTCGTGGTCTGTTCTGGCAGGTTCATTAGATTCGTTGAGGGCACTTCTCACTGCACACTGGTGCACTGCAGTGCAGCCAGAACCGCGAAATAAGCATTGCAATTTTGGGTATCTCGCTTCGCTACAGTGCACCCACGTGCTAAGGGGAAAGCACTCTTCCAGAGCCGGACATTATGATGCAAGTGTCTGATATAATAGTACTGAGAAAAGAACTTGGTGAGTTCTGATGTAACAACTCTACCTTGTAGTAAAATTGTGTGAAATACCATAAACTAAGATATTCTGACGTTTTTTTTTCTTCATAGAGTGCTCTAAATGTTTATTTTTATGTCACTTCTCTTGTTTAGTTATGACCTCCATATATAATGTTTTTTTATGGCTTACAGATTTGCTTAAAAAAAGCCATGAAAGCTACACTAATCTAGTCTGTGCAGGGTAGTGATATGGTCAAGGGGACATATATAGGGTGCTAATCATTGCAAGAAGTCTGATAATTAACTAAAATCTGTTAACTCTTTAATAAGTTAAAATAAACATGATTGCATTTAGAAACTTATTGAGCATTATCAAAAGCCACCAAGTCAGTAAATTTCAGCGCATGAGAAATGCAGTGGTGCGCTAAAATTACCACTCTTGTAACAGTCACTAAAGTTACTTTAACAGCCGCAAGACTAGAAGTGTGAAAACACCGATAACACCACCGCCAGCTTATCAGTGTTTTGCACTGCCAGCCTTCATCTTGTTGCACAAGTAATAACTTCTGTGCACGGCGCATGCTTCTCACGCACTCCAAATCTTTCTAAAATTTACGAATTTAATGTTTTTTGATGGTGCACAGCAAGTTTCCAGCTGGAATCCTGTATTTCACTGAGGAAAACATTAATGAACAGACATTAGTCAACTCTATCGTAATGATTAGCCACCTACTACTCTATTATGTCCCACTGACTGTATAACTCACCTGCACAAACCATGTTAGTGTAGCTTTCGTTGTCTTTTTTTTAAGCGAATGTGCAGCCTAAGAGGCCCTGTTATGTTGGTTTTTTTGTGCTCGTAGAACAGTGAAGAGAGAGTCAAAACTGACTTCAGGGGCAATGGATGGATACTTAGGAATAATTTTAATGAATTTGGCTGGACTGTTTTCAAGAAGGCATATCAGAATCAAACGGCAAAAGCTGTTTTTATCTGAATTAAGAATTTGGGTTTCATTGGAACCCTTAGAACTTAAATGAAACATAAATTTGAATGCTCAATATAATTCCATTCTAACCTTTTTTTTATGGAATACAGTAAAACCTCGTTATAACAAAATGGGATATAACAAACTAATGGATATAACAAAGCAATCATAATTCCCCTTGCTTGCTAATAGTGGGAAGAAATGGACATTGGCTATAACAAACTAATGGTTATAACGAAATAATTACGACCGCTCCTTCAACTTTGTTATAACGAGGTTTTACTGTATACTAATTGGTTTTCATTTAACTCCATACCTACAATAACCACAGCAGTTGATATCATCAGTCGGCCTCTTGTTGCCGTAACTGGTGTTTCTAAACAGATAGTTCTGTGTTTGAGGGAATCTAACCTTCCTTTCAGATGTTACAACAGAAGGTTGCACGGAAGTGGGAAGGCAAAGTAAATAGTGCAGTTTTGTTGGACAAGCCGACACATGAATTTTAACATATGTTTGCAGTGGTAGGAATGAAAATGAAGGGTGTGCCTGTGCTCCAAAATTGTTGTTTCTGCTCCAAAATGTACTTTTAGCTGCTCCAAAAAGTGATCCAGAATGACAAACCAATCCCATCCCTGGAGGTTTCTTACTTGGTGTAACAAACAGAACTTGAGCTTTCTATTGCTGCACGCTCCCAAGACTTTTTGAAATTGTCTGGTTTAAAGGGGTGCTTTGGCGTTTTCCTCATAGTCCCCGACTTGTCTGAAAATTTGCAAAACACACCAACCGACCGACATCACTGCAATAGTCACCCCAAATATTGGGCCAAAACGCAAAGTTATTGAATTCACAATTTTGGTCCTCACTGTGTTTTTCGGAATGAAAGTCTACGAGCAACAATAGAAAAGTGACCTCGGCGGAAAGCAGGGGTTCAATCTTTGGACTGTAGACTTTGTTCCCAACTGATTACAAGTATTATCATGGTGTCAAATGAATACTTTGGAAGCCTGTTCCAGCACCCACGCAGCAGTACGAAACAGATGCTGGACATAGTTCATTCTTAGACTTCCCACTGACCTGCAAGCCTGCCCTCCCCCGACATCGCGGCACTGGAAAGCGAGTGTATATTTGAATGTTGGTTTTGGCATCATTTTCACTTGATTTCTCAATAACTATTCCGAATTTCGCAATACTAAATATAATACCGGAAAGGGTAAATACTGGCGATTCTAAAAATGTAGTTGGGGTAGCTAAAAAAATCGCCGGAGCACCCCTTTAAGGTGTTGACATTTATTGGTGGCATGTTTATAATTCTCGCTGCAGCAATGCATATGTGGAATGTGGCATACTCAGCTGGATAAAGTGTGGACGTTTGGTCATAATAGAATTTTCCACGTATCCTACACAATTTGTTCATCATAGCACCAGGGTGCTATTGCAATGATGCACTTTCTACAAGTAATGATGGATACTGCTGTGGCAGTCTTTGAAGGACAAAATGCTCTGGAGAGGTGAATACAAGAATTTCCAAAAGACATGGGACATGTGGGAATTGGTACTGCAAAGCATGTCTTTACCGTCTCATTAACAAAGGATAACGAGTCTGGGGGATACCGAATTCCTATGGCTTGTGTTTAGAAGAAATTTTTGCCTCTCACGTGGAAAGAAGTCTGCTTTGAACCAATTTTTAAAACAAATTTGAGGTGCAAAAATCCTGTACAATTTCCTCTTAGTTCCCTCTCCATGTCTAAGGAAACCTTTCCTTTTTTTTTTTTTTTGGGGGGGGGGGGGAGGGAGGGGGAGGAGGAGGAGATTAGCTCTCAGACCTGTGGTACTTTGGAGAAGGGGAGAGAGCCCAAGAAAAAATTTAAATTCAAGAAAAGTTATTAAGGGGGAAAATTATGTTATAGAGATTGTTAGTATATTTTCTAGGTACCTTAATAAGATGGTACCTTCTTGCCAAGAGCAGTATGGCAAGAAGGTACCATCTTACTTTTTTGTGATTAGCATACACCAGTCTACACAAAAAGCAAGCTGCAGCAAAGTGAGTATTGACTGTCTGGCAACCTTCTCCACCAAAAAAGCAGTTTCTGTGTAAACTGACATTTCAGGTTTTATGCCAGCCTTTGGTATCAAATATTGAAATTTAATTGGTGAGGCACACGCTGACATAAATAGCTTAGACTTTAATTGCAAAGATGCTTAGCCGACTCCCCACAAAGCCGCAACACCCAGAAACGTGTTTAGCACTGCAAAAGGGACAACCGGAATATATATTTATAGCACATTGCTCTCCAGCCCCAAAGTGCAGGGGTGAATGCCAACATTTGTACAGTCCCAAATTCTGCCCTAATGTTTTAGTGAGCTTGCTGGTAGGTGCTGTCACACGGCTTCGTTGGGTTCGTTGACCATGACAAGGTCTTCTGTGTCGCAGAGATCGCTGGTGAGGTCGTCGTCGCTGTAGCCAAACTCTGGAACCTGCAAAATAATGCTCCATTAAAACTGCATAAGGACAGTAAAAAAAAAAAAATTGACTTCCCTTTGTTTTAAATGTGTATTCTCGGGTCAAATTACAACAATTGGGTATGTAAGACATATAATAAAATAAGCTAAAGCTATAGACACTTAAAGGTGTAGTGTAAAGATTTTAATGTTTAAAGAATTTGCAGTTTGTTTTTCTTGTTGTATATCTAGGCACGAGTGACATAAAAATGCACCACCTTGTCCAAAAATGTGCTACCGTATTCCACCGTGTAATCGCAAAAGAAAAAATTAATTGTTTAGCGATCCGCAGCCGTGTGTGGCGGTTACGGGAAGTGCGGTGAAACATCTTCTGGGAGACACTCCAAAGTCAATGAAACCTGTCCCCGTCCGCAGCTACACTCATTGTGAGCCTCGTGGTCAGCCATCTTTTGTGTCGACCGCTCGCCACGACTTGCGGCAAAGCTGATCCTTGAAAAGTTGACAATCGTGCAGAGGAAACGGCTAGGGGATCAGAAGAGAGAATTCAGCGGGAAACCAGATGGTCCCCCAGAGTATGTCGCTCGAAAGGAGAGGCAGTTTGACCTTTTCAAACAAGAACTGGCGTGCGCAAGAAAATGCAGTTTTCTCTTGTTCATTCCGTGGGTGGCACCGATTAATTCCCGCACTTAATTGGCCAAAGTCCGAAAATCGTTGCCTGCCCCTTGAAACACTGGTGAAAAATGTTTAAAATCAAAAAGTTGTAAGCCTTACTCTGCCAGTGTAATCTGACAGTCAAGTGTGCATTGCTACGCACATTATGGTCTAAAAGGGAATGGAAATGGCCTACCATACCAAACCCCCCCCCCCCCCCCCCCCCCCCCCCGAGCTCTAGCTGCTCGGAGCTTCCTTCGTGCTCAAGAAAAATGTTGTGGGATAAGAGCATTTTACCCGTAATGATAAGGAACAGCAGAATGAATCAGTTAAATTCAGGTTGTCCACAGTCTGTAATGTACTGCTTGATGTCTTCAGTAGCTGAATCTCTGTGGGCATCCAGCATTAATCGGGAGTCTCTGCCACTCGACCTGACAGCACCGTCTCCCGCCATGTTTTTTGCACTGTTGAGGCGGTAACAAAGGCACCACCAGTGTCGTGAAAGCATTGGGCCACACGGTCGTTCGTTGCAAGCTAGTTGGGGACATCTCTCGACAGTTCTTTACACTATTGGGACAGTTGCTAAAGTGCTTCAGGCCCACAAAAGATAAGTGTCAGCTAGAACATAAACACGAACACAAAGGATAAAAAGGGACAAACACACTGCTGATTAACAACTAGATTATAATACCTCTCCTTCGTCTTTAGCCCTAAGTACTTCCTCTTCTTCATAGTTAACCCCAAGTACTTCCTCTTTCAAAGAGGTTTCACACAAACCACATTATTGTAAATAAAGTAAAAGTCAAAAGTCTCTGAAGAGGAAGTACTTAGAGTTAAAAACAAAGAAGAGGTATTATAACCTAGTTGTTAGTTGTAGTGTTTGACCTTTTCTATCTTTGTGTTCGTGTTTATGTTCTAGCTGACACTTGCACCTAACATGTACCAATTAGCTCAACTTGAGACTGTAACCCATAGAAGAATTGCAATCTTTATTTTTCTGAAATTTGAGGGATGCATTTGCCCTTCACTAGTTCTTCAATTTTAGTACAAATTGTAGCATCAATTTGATTAAATATTTGGGTTGTGTTTCACATTAAGCACAAAGCCTAACATAATGCATTGTCCTTTGGCCAATGCATTGTGTCTGCCGAGGCCAATGCTTTAGACATTTCTTTGGCAAGCCTTAATTAGGCCTTGATAATGTAGGCTTGCCTTTCAACTGGACTAACCAGCTGCAAATACAGATAGTCTTTCACTGTCAGAGAAAACATGCCAAACAGAACATGCAAAGTTGTCAACAACAAACATGCCCACTGATGATGTAAACATGCATAGCACTACCACCAGTATCATCACCATCACACCTCCCACCACCACTCTAAAATGGTGCAAGAAACTCACCGGCTCTGGCTCCGCCTGAAAATATTGAGATGCCCAGGAAATTGACTAAAGAAACTATATGGGCATAGGGTTAAGTTTCTAATGCCAGACTGCACTGTCAGTTATCAGGATTAAGAATAATGGTTATATATTTGAGCAAAATGCCACCAAGTTAATGTGTGGGTGCTGCTGAAGAGAGAGAGCTACGTACACCTCGGGACAATATGAGCTGAAACACCCCATCTGGACTCTTGCTATGCCTACAGTTCCCACAATATCTATTACATCTTAAATCGTGAAAAAGTTCACAAAGATTCTGACCTAAGCTTTGCATTCCAACACATTTTTGTGCCAAAGCTTCTTTGAAAACTGACGGGTAAGTTGATAAAGCATTGAGGGCTGTTTCAGCCCACATTGTCTGTGACAGTACATATGAGAAAACCCATGTTAGGCATAACATAGTGTTAATAGGTAAAAGTAGAATACATCAGAGAGGATAAACAAAAGCATGCAAGCCAATACCAAATCTGAACGAAAGCGACTTGGAAATTCTACACCCACAGGGAAAAAGTAATAAACATCGGGCATAGCAGGGGAAAAATAGAAATATACATATAGAGTATAAAAAATATAATGTATAACTTTTGGTACTCTGATTATCTGCCTCCAAATTTGGCTCTATAAGTCAGGCTTTTATTAGCAACTATTTTATTGAATTATACACATATTGCGATAGTCTCATCAACGTATATGTCGGAATTGACCGACACTGTTCAGTCAGACCAAGCTGGATGGAGGAATGCTAACGGCTGTGGCCTTTATATCGGGCAATAGCTTGCGCCACCTAGCCTAGAAGTTTAAAACCAAAAGTATGCTTTCTTTCCTTCGCCAATTTGCTTACCCTCTGCAATTTCGTAACTATCACAAGGCGGTGTGGGATATCACTGTCTTGCCTGTCCCCAGTTGTAGCAGCTAGTTGTACATCGTTCAATTCTCCCTAGACAATGTCCACCAGTCTTCCAATCTCCTCTTTGTTACTAGAATACACTTATCATCCATTCTCGTCTGCAAATTCCAGTGCTCTGGTCAAATCCGTCGCCCCCTCCGGAGGGGCGGGAGCAAGCTCTGTGCTTGCTCCTGCCACATGTTCTATTGTCTCGTCTTCCCCTTGGCATACAGCTTACCACATATCCATTTCCTCATACTTTGTCCTATAAGTCCTAACCTTGAATAACGAGCTCCCACGTGAATTATTGTACCAATGTTCCTTTTTTACTTCCTGTTTTTGTCCCCTATGCATAGTTTCCCTCACACATATTCTCTCTGCTCTCACATATTCTCTCCCCACACATTCTTCCCTCCCACATATTTCTCTCTGTTTCTTTTACTTTCTTTTTTCACAGAGGTAGTCTGTTCTGCACCCGCACTTGACTGTTGCTACTTTAATTTTAGTTTTCGGGTCTGGTTTGTCCATTTAGTGTTTAAACTTTTCACAAACAGATACTTGATATTTTTCTTGCCCATCGTGTATCCTCAATTGTGTCCAGTCTTTGTTCAAATTTCAACTTACTGATCGCCTCTCTAACCTCAAAAGATGCCCAGCCCATGTCTCCCTGCACCCCTTCATTTGGTGTATTCCCATGTGCCACCAGTGCCAGTCTGTCAAACCTCCTCTGCCGGATTTCTAAGCTCGACTGGACCTCCGATCTCATGCATAACATCGCATTGCCAAAAGACAACCCCGGTATTATGACTCCTTTCTGTATTCCCCTAACAATTTTATATCTATTGTAATTCCATAGTGCCCTAAGCGAGCCATCAGAGATGATGATGGTGATGTCCAATAGAGCACTGCACGGGTCCGGGCCAGCCCGAAAACCCGAGCCCGGCCTGGCCCGCGGGCCGGGCTTGGGCCGGGTAGCATGTATTTTCTCGGGCCCGGGCCGGGCTCGGGCTTGAACAAAAAAGTTCTCGGGCCGCGCCGGCCCGGGCCATGCCTGGGCAATCTTCTGCCGTAAATCATAAATTGTTGTTGATAGCAAGAAGTTTGCTCATTAATCTTTTAGGTTCATTGAATACAAAAAAAAAAAAAAAAGCGAAGTGCAAATTCATTACAGCGTCGTTAAAAATAATAACTAAAAGGCGTCTTGAAGCTAGAAAGCTTTCGAGCTTTTTCCGTGTGAGCGAGGGATCAGTGTTATAAATTGTAAACAAAATAAAGTCCCAGTCATATGCTTGTCAACCTGTCTGATTCATCACTCTCAAAAATATCTAGTTCGCTATTAGGAAGATTTAGAAAAACGTACGCAAGCGCTTTGGGTACCATAAAAATAGCGTTGCGATGTAAAACCTATGGTGATGCTAATTTTAGCTTGCCCAAAGTGCTTGAGTACGTTATTCTAAGACTCCCTTATTGCACAGAGCGCGACACTATATTAGCGCGAACAAGCGAACGTCGTGTTTTTATGTTTATCTCATAGAATCATAACGCTGTTTCAAAACTATTAGTGTCTTTAGAAGTGCTCATCTGGGCCACAGACCTAAGCGGTATACTTTGGTGCCTACTAACACCATTTCGAAGTAAAATTCGAAAAAAAAGCCAACGTTGTGTTCGCGGTATCAGTGTCGCGCAGTGTACATAGTCCGTTCCGCGCTTGCACGTTTTGGGAACCATCTTGAAAAAAACGTTTTAAGGGGTTAAGTAGGAATATATTAAACTTAAGCTTGCCTGAAAGGGTTGTATATTTTAAGAACGCGTTGATATGTAAAGCTATATACTTCAGAACATATTCTTAAACAGAGAAGGTGCGCAGACCAGGCTTAGAAGGATGGAAACATTTTTTGAAGGGGTTGCGATGTGCAGTGCCTTATAAAAGTAGGTTGAAACGGGACGCAATCAAACGCAAAGGGTGTTTCGGAAACTGGTTCAAATAAGAAGGGCGTTTAAGGAATGGGTAGAAACAGGACAAATTCAAACGAGAAGGGTGTTTAGGGAACTGGTTGAAACGGGACGGGTTCATATGGGAAGGGCGTTTAAAGAATGGGTCGAAACAGGACGGGTTCAAATGGGGAGCTCGTTTCGGGAACGGGTCGAAACGGGACGGGTTCAAACGGGAATGGGTTGTTTCGGGCGACAGCCATCTGGCCGGGTCGGGCGGGGCCTAGAAATTAAAAATTCTATCGGGCTCGGGCCGGGCCCGGGCCGTGTCTCTTCCAGGCCAGGTCGGGCCGGGCCTAGAAATTAAAAATTCTGTCGGGCTCGGGCCGGGCCCGGGCCGTGTCTCTACCGGCCGGGTCGGGCCAGGCCTAGAAATTACGGCCCGTGCAGTGCTCTAATGTCCAATGATAACAAAGACACCATCACAATAGCATTTGCATCCTAAAAAGCAATAGATAGAACATTGCCAGAAATCTTGAGAAATAAGCTTATTTCATGAGGCACAGAGCATAAGATGGCAGAAGCCTTCAGAAACGGTTAAAAGAAAGCGCTCACCTCTTCTCCATGCTCCTTGAGCCTCTCCTTGAGCTTGGAAATCCTGGAGTCTTGTTCTGTCAACATGACCAGCAGATCTTCTTGTTCTTTCCTGATTGTCTGGAGCTCTTCCTCCGACGTGGCTTTCTCTTGCTGTTCAAAATTAATCGCACAATCGCAAAAAGAAACGTCATGATCATTGAAATAGTACTCTCCTAACATTTTCTAGATCGCATCTGCGTCGAAATATTACCTTGAAACATTGAGAGTACCATAAGCTTTAGCCCCATCTTGAGCGTGGGAGACTGCCATCATCCATGAAGTAGTAAAGACAGTATTTGATTTGGGATGCACGGAAGTATGTCATTTCTCATGAGAGGTCAAAATCGAGCAAAGACCATGGCCTTGGCAGTGGTCATCAACTCATGAGGAACAGCATACACATCGGCCCCCAAAAGCAGTCTCTAAACGAAACTTTGGCCATCATGTTCCTACCACTTGCGTTCCCTTGCCAAACCAGTAGCACTTACAGTTGCCGACAAGGTGAGAAAGTCACCGCGTTTCTTTAGAACACCCGGTCTCTCCAGCACGCCCAAGGCTTGCGAGACTCCGAAGCATTATCGACGGTAGAAAAACTGAAACTCCTCCCAGCCATTCTCATCTTGTCAGCGACTATCGTAATATCCCGGGTCGTCGCCCACCGCACCTTTTGGGCGAATATCAAGTCCCAAAAAAACGCAGAGTGATCGCCCACCCCTACGAATGCCCCAATGCGGACTCGGCGATCCGCAGACATTCATCTTACTCGAATGACGCAGCCGTATGGACCTTACAGTTCAAGGACGTTTGTGACAATGTAAAATGAAGGAGGAAAAGACACTTCTCTTTGTTTACGCATTTTCTACCCGAGTTCCTTGACCCCGAGGTCGTAGCACACGTGTGCGAAAGGAAAATGGTGGAGATAACAGAATGGAGCTTTGTTTCGCTTACAAAAAAGTTTGTTTGGACACCCCATATCCTGGAATGTAACCGCAAAGTGTAAGGTTAAGGTCCGTCTCCACCATAGTTAAGGTCACCGCAAACCTGCTCCGTCTCCCAGAACGTCTAAATCGCGGTTAGTAAGATGATGCTATGTTTAAGACAAAGCCAACAGGTAAATAAAAATTTTCTGGAACACCGCACATAACTGGTAAATAAAGATTTGCTGGAACACTGCACACAGACGTTTGTAGAGCGTCCCATTTCAAGCACCAAGTTCGTGATGCCGTCCACGCCACGCAGCAATGCCACCTCAACCAGTGTTGACAGCACACATGTACGTACCAAACAAGGAAGTTGCGCAAAAGCCTGCTCCTTGCGATTGAGAAGGCCCTTGACCTGGCCCAACGCCGAAGTATTCACTGACGCGATCGCCGGCTTTTCTGCTTCCTCGCCATCGCTCTTCGTCACTTCTTTCGTCTCTTCGCTCGCTCGCTCACTAGTTGCACCTGGTTGGTTTTTCTATTTTCTTGTTGACTTTTTTTTTACTAATGAAGAGAATGTAGCGCTGTTAGAAACATGCTTTCACATATGCCGATCATTGGTGTTCATCGCTCGTATGCAAGCAACAGACTTTGCGATAGTAAAACATTATTTCATGAGCATTTCTTGCATAGATACATACAGAAAAAAATGAATTTTTTTTTAGCTTTTTCTAAACTTTTTGTGCTTACCCACCGAGACATGGCCCACCCCACTTTTCCTATAAATTTCAGGTGGCAGGGGGGTGGGTGATGACTCGGGATATTACAGTATATTCAAATATCGGAAACTACACTCGCTTACCTGAAGAGACTTGTTTTGCTCCTGGAGAGAAGCAATTTCTGTCTGCAGAGAAGCAACCTTCTCCTTGAGAGCGGTCAGCTCAGCTTGTGCAGCTGCGTCTGCCTCGGGGTCGACGGGAAGGGGGGGCGCCGACGGTATGGTCGCACTCTCAGCGGCCACGCTCTGCTGGGTCTGCTCGTCTTTCAGAGAATTCTGTTGAGGACAAATAACAACCCTCTAGTGAGTTGCATCTGGTGGCACCTATCCAAGACAGCCCAAACATGGGCCAGGAGGTCCAGTATAACCACGCTTACGAATTTTAATTTTCCAATTTTTTACATGTTTTTCTTACTGCATGCTGGCAAACGAAAGGTACTATCACTAGCAAAAATGACGGCAGGCGTACGGAACACATGGCTTTACGACAACACAATGGTAATCTTTGGGGAAGCCGAAGTACAGTCGAAATTGTGCTTGCACAATTCTCAGCTAACATTTAATGGCTGTGGTACACCTAATAATTAAATCTATATAAATCTTGCACGTGCAAAGAAAGCGTCCCAGAAAGAAAAATTTATATGTGTTATCTTAAACCGTGGCTGCCTTTTGGAGAAAATCCCGGGTTTTGCCTATTGATAGACACTTCGAGGGCAACATAAAGTGAAGGTACCAGTTCCAGTTGCAGTTCCTCGTGCTGTTTCCGAAGATCATCCAGCTCCTTTTTGGTCTGGTCCAGTTCGGGACTGGGACTCTTGCTGTCGCCCTGGCCACCCCCAGCTGCCACTGGAACGTCCAGGGGTACAAAATCAGTTCTTCCATGACATGTACAGTAGAAGATCATCATTGGAAGGCGGAGACAGTTGTACGAGACATTAGGCATTTTGGCAGGGCAAGCCCTCATTGCATTTGTCAGTTAATTTGCATTTAGTATACATTCAGTTGTTTATAGTAGACGACTTTGCATTTGATCTGTTCCTAGCACAATTTCCGGTCAAGCTGAGACATTGTGGAAAAAAAACGGCTTGGGTTTCGAAAAGCTAGACTCTTGCAAAACAATATATAAAAGAAAACCATGAAACCTAACTTACAACTAGGATTCTGTGTTTACGGAGTTTATTTTTCGTGAAATTCGGAGGGTGTTTTTTTCGGAGTTTATATTTTGTCATACATTCAGAGGTTTTCTTCGGAGTTTATTTTTGTTGGACTTTCAATTTTCGGAAATTCTGAGTTTATTATTGCCATGTTCCCAATTGTTAAAAATTGAAAACAAAAAGAAAAGATGAAAGATGTTTACAAATCTCTGTAATGCGAAATTAAAGTGCAGCTCTTGAGGAGGAGGGGAGGGTATGCCCCTCCTTTTCCTCTGTACCCTTCCCTCCTCCTCCTCCATCCCCTCGTCCAACAGTTTCCTAGCTAAATTTAGCTGGAAAATTGATGCCCCGTGACCTCAACACCAATTCAGTTTCCAAGCTAAATTTAGCGGGGAACATCACGTCACATGACTTCGTGTCACGTCACCCATGAACAAATTCAGTCTCCCCACTAGATTTAGCGGAAAAATTGACGTCACATAAGCTCAACACCAATTCGATTTCCCGCTAAATTTAGCAGGGTGGTTACGCCGTCGGCGACGCCGCTATACATGGAAACTGGCGCCTAAGAGCTGCATTCTAAAATATCTGGACATAGAAGTGCACCAAGTTCAGAAGAACTTGCTTGTATGAAATAATATATTAAATAATTTTCGTGTTGGTTTCGGCATTGCCGACTTTGCCACTGATGACTAACTGTCCTAAATTAAACTCAGCAAACTAAAATTTCAGAAAATTGTTACTTCAATAGATGTTGACACTTTAAAACCAAAAGAGGCAGTTGTCATGCGGTGTGAGACCCTATACTTTGTCTCACCTCAGTATAGACTAACTGTGAAGGCTGTGCAAGTGCGAGCGGGAAGCCTTGACTGCCTTGACTGAAGCACTCGCTGCACGAGCGCTTGTGCAACCGACGAGGCTGCATCCAAAGCAAATAGCTCGCACTTTTAGCATGCCCGCCTAACAATAGTTGATGCTAAGGGGAGACGAAGTATAGCATAATTGGTGCCTCTCACCCCTTTGTGCTTTGAATAGAGCATTCTGGTCCTTCAGCTGCTGAATGGTCTCAACCATTTCCTTGAGCTGCATGCTGCTCTGCTGGTGCTCTCGGCGTAACAGATCTAGCTCCGAGGTCATTGACCTGATCCTTTCGTCCTGCATGGCGGGCAGACCTATAGATCACAACACTGTACTGCTGCAAAGCTCGAGAAGCATTGTATTGCAGTAGTACCTGATCCCTGATGACACCCTTGTACTGCTGTAGCAGCGAGTGCTGCTCAGCGGTCATGTTGGACTCTGGGCCATTGGCAAGGTCCTTTGGTCGTGGCTGAACTGCTTTGATGATGGCACCTGGACAGACATCATACCAAAACTAAGACTCCATGAAGAAATTTAAGGTTATGTAAGCCTTTCTCGGGTCAAGCTATTGAGAAAGGAGGATATGCCCAATGAATAGACAAAAACACGTCGTGTTTCTGCTCCTCCTGTTTTGCATGTCTTTTTTTGCAATAACTTTGCGTAAACATGCATTCTCTTTCTTTTTTACTCTAAAAATAATGTTGAGTGGCGGATAGTCATAGGTACAAACTCCGTTGATTGCCTCCACATTTGGCAATCTGCCAATTCATCCCACAATACATGGAAATAATAATAAAAACATTTTAAAAAACTATAATAGTGGGTGGATATAGAAAAAATTGCGACTAGTATAAGCTCTATACAGGTGTGGAACATTTGCGTGGTGGTATTGCAGGCAAAGTTTTTGGGAATCTACCTTCGAGCGACTTGAACAGCCTGCAGAACTCGTAATCGAAGAACACCTCGGAGGGGTGCTTGTACTTGAGCTGAGGCTTCTGGGCAGCCTGGCTGTAGCACTCCTGCTTCGGGATGGCCACCAGCTTGTCCACAAAGGTGTCCAGTCCGACGCGCTTTACGAGCAGCTGGCACAAAGAATCTCTGGGACAAAAACATTGGCAGCGTTATTCAAATGTATCAACCAAACTGTTGTATGCAGAATTAGTGTGTAAGAAACGGTGGGTATTCATGACTTCTTTTATTGGCCTGCTCCGGTTAATGTGTTATCATGGCTTCAAGTAACATCACTCTATGACTTGACAACCAACATTATTAGATCCAATTATCTTGTCGACTTTGAGATGTCGCATGACAACACGACTTCGCACTGTGGGTCACGTGACGCCAGGTAACATGACGTGCAAATCCCGCCACGGATGAACATGAAATCCGAGTTAGCCTTCGTTAGAATGAAAACTCAGTATCAAAACACATTTTGCAAGAGGCCCAGCTTTCAAGTGCCAGTGATCAGCTGTTAAGAACGGTAGCAGAGGTTACAACTTCTTGTTGGAATTGATTGCAACATTGGTGTTAGTGTTTGCCTATGGTTCTTGCACTCAGGAGTAAAAAGTGTTGACAAGTGAAAAACCTTGGCAACATACTGCGATGTAGTAGTGTCTCTGTAGCGTAACTTGTTACACAACTTCTTGCATGTATAATGGTTTATTCTGCACTATGGTATTTTGTGCACACGAGCATCTGGTGCTTTATATTCACTGCAACTGATAACTGTTTCTGTACTGCAAATTATTTTATTTGAACATGATGGTAAACCCCAAGCCTGGCTAGAAAGAAGTAATAGTGTCACGGTTTACCATCATGTTTAAAAACGGTAGCTCCCCCAGACTTACGCATTGTTTTTTTTTTTTTGACAGCAGAGCTGTTAAGGGCTAGGTTCCCCAGGATTGTGTTTGGTATGTCGACACAAACCTGCCTGGACAGCTACCGCCATCTATAAGCGACGGCGGCAAGCACACATCCAGTATGGTTTCCGTTGTCGCTCGTAGATGGCGGCAACCTTTATAGCTATAATAGAAGAATGGATAGTTGGGCGCATTGGTGGCAATTCAGCGTAGGAAACAGCGCGAAAAACAGACGACGACGAAGAAGAAGCACACAGTGTATCGAGTACAGCTCCGCTGGTCTTCCTTCTTCACGAGAGTGGAAAGGCTGAACGATTTTTTCTTAATTAATGGTTATTAAATTTTTTTAATTCCAATTGCAGCACATATTTGAGCAGCGCCCAAATTATGTGGAGGTGTCTAACATGAAAGGTTTCACTGCATAGTATACCACATCAGAAAAAAATGAATGGGTTGTGCAAGCTCCCCTTCACAAATCATGCCCCTTTGGGACCTAAGTAAGTATGGTACTAAATATTACATATATAAATTAAATAAGCAAAGTTTCTCTACAATACAGTCGAAAAGAAAGTGCTGTAGAAGCTCACCGTGTGAAGCTGGGAACGGAATCGTCATTGAATTCAATGCAGATTCCGAGCAAGAAAGCACAAAGGCTCTGCACAAGATCCTCATGTTCGTCTCCTTCAGCAAGGCTCACTTGTGAGGTCAGCTGATCACAAATAAAGGAGCATATTGTATTTGTCCAGACTAGGCACGGCTCCGGTAAACAGATTCTGCAGATACCTATCTAGGGATAAAACACCTTTAAAGAAAAGTTGGATAAAAAAAACAGTTAACATTTCTCGAAGCACATATTCTTGGAGCCAGTTGATTCCTAAAGACATCCATGAGAGCTTGCAGCCATTAAAGCCGGTTGCAACATCCAACCATGGTTTTCTGTACCACACCTGATCAAAACTCAAGAAATATGGGCAACAGACAAAGACATGAAGAGAGTTGTTTGTGAGACTATCCCCACACTGTCTTGAGCTGAGTATCTTTCGTCAGTCTCGAGTTATATTGACATCTGTCGATCCCTACACCCTTGCCTTCCTATTTCAGCATCCAAATCTGTCCCGAGTCAAGTGGAAAATGTGGCCCTTGTGGGTGATATTAAACAGTTCCCATCGGAGCAAAGGATACGTATGGAATGTTTGTGGGGATGTTGAGAAAATGCGTCACTGCCAAGGTGCAGTTGGCCAGCCAGGTGCTCATGAGCATCAGCAGGCCTAGCCGAGTCTGCAGCTTCCCGCCCTAGAAGGCCACAAAAAACTAGATATTAATCTCCTCGGCATGAAGCATTGAGAAAATATGTTGTAACGCAGCTGGAAATTAACTCGGAGTGAAATAAACAGTCGCAGTGCCACTGGTTGCCATTTCGGAAACTCTCGCACTATGAATTAACTATTTCTATATTCAATCTCACAAGTTGTGTGGGATGCTATCAAAGGTACTCGGTGACATAAGAGCATAGATCTACGAAAGAACTTCTAACGCAGATGTGTTATATCGGTTTTATCTTATCTATTCAAATATTGTCACGAACGAGTGTCACAAATGAGCGGGAGCATTACAGACATTAAGGTTCTATATAAAGTTTATAGTATATATAGTATCCGACTGCCACCGGACCGACCCAAGTTCGAGGCCTGGCGGGGCTGCAACCTGGCACGGTGCAATGGCAGTCAGATACTATAGCTACTAGCACTGCTGGTCTGGAGGAGTAAATTATTTTATTTTAATGCAAATGTGCTGGCGAGAGTTGCAGGTTTTGGATAAAAATATTAAAATAAAATAATATTAAACTAATAAAATAGAAGATAAAATTAATTAAAAATCTAGCACAAACCACACATGGAGTGTGGTTTGTGCTAGATCGGTGGCCAAGCGTATTAACGCATTGCGGCTCAAAGCACTTGGAGCCTCGCGCAGCGGAACCCAGGGATCCTGGGCTCAATTCCCACCCCTGTCCGTTTCGATCTGGATGAGCATCATACCGGAATGCGGTCCGGAATCACTACTATGTGATGTACGATAAAAAGATCCCAGGCTAACAGCCCTACTGCACTGGTTAAATTTCTTAAAACCAGTGTTGCCATAGCTCAGACGCAAACCACTGCCTAAACACAAACATCTAATTTGGACCCAAGATGCAACATGTGCACAACTGCATTTCTTTGAATGGCTGACCTGTTGGAGAATGGCTGTGCACTGTCGCATCAGCGAGACTGGCGGGTTGCCGACACTGGTGGCCAGTTGCACCCTGAGCAGCTGCTCCTTCTGGGTGGGGTTGTCCACGAGCGCGTGGGACAGGGCAACCGCCGCAAACCAGTTGCTCAGGGGGTCTGCGCTGAACAGGCCCCCACACAGGAGCTGCCCTGCTGTCACACTTGTAACTGCAAATGCCAACGAGAACATTACAATTTGAAGGAGTTCAGTGGTCATCAGTGACCCACTTTTTAATGGTTTATGATGGTTGATTCCATTCAAATACTCATAGAAAATCTAGGCAGAATGTTAATGGTCACTAATTGCTCAACATGAGCAACTCTCGACATTCACTAGCCTAGTGCCTGCCATACACTAGCCTGTGCTAGACTTTCTGAATGGTTGTTCAGCCATTTAGAAAGGCTAATACAGCTATGCAAATTTTGCTTACCCTTTAATAGGGTTATTGCAGTTCATTAAAAAATATTATATCCAAAGGTGCAGGTATAAAGCCTCTATAGAACAAATGATAGTTCCGGGAAGCCCTAGGGATGCAGAGAAAAAAATATTTTGAAGGAAAAAAATATTTTCCTTTAATCACCGACAGCTAACATAACATGAAAACGAAGTACAACATGAATCATACCTTCCCGACTGTCTTTTAACACAGAATTTGTTATACGGCTGGCACCAACCCATATCCGGTTACGTGGCAGGCAACCGAAGTTGACAGGCCGACTGCCAGCCGAACGCTGGCGCAACGCTCGTCTCCACACTGGTTAGACATCAGTGCCAGCCGAAACATTTCCTCGAGTGCCTCCGTGTTACTTCTGGCAGGGGTGAAGCATCACGCGTTCAAACATGCAACAGCACTCTGCCCCATGAAACAAGCATGCTCCGGGTTTCCCCAGAGAAAGACTGCAAAAAAAAAATGTGTCAGAAAAGCAAGAAAAAGAAAAAAGCAGAAGACAAAAAGCAGACTCCTTTGTCTCAGTGAGTCCCGAGTGTTTGGTTCTCTTTTGCTACGATCTGGTGCCAGGGGTCTGCTTGGCACTGCCACGTTCCAGTTGTTCTGTTTTCTGCAGGCTCCGTCTACTGTGTCTCACGATCCAACAAATGGGCTCCGAGAAAGTCGCACTTGCACTGCAACCGCAGAAGATGGCACCCACAACTAAGAGATTCATGGAGCGCTCACGCGCTTACCTTGCACGACGCAGGACCGCTTCGTGTCATTCAGTCTCCACAAGTGTCTACAGTGTCTCCACACTGATGAATCACATCATGTGTTACCACTGCCTTTGCCACGCTAGTACTAGTACCGCAAAGGGGCGACTTTTTAAATGTTGTTCGCTGCAAATTATAAAACAAAACTCTCGAAAAGCCCATTACGGAGAGCTCTCAGAAGGCAAGCCTCCCGAAAATCACTTCACCGCAAGACATTCCCATTACATTCCCACGCGCTTGTTGATAGTTTATTTTACATACACGCAAAATCCACCAAAACCATAGATGTTGGGAGCTGTCAAGTACGGAATCATGGTGCTTAGATTGGTGAAATGTACATGAGAATGAGGCTCATTTAATCATCTCATCTACATAGATTCTGAAGCAACTCACTGTCTGCAGAAGTGGGCAGCAGCGTCTGAATGATCTGTGCCTGTCCCAATTCGTTCTTGTAAAGGAAGCACTGGAAGCAGTAGAGCACGGCACAGCGCAGGACAAACGGCTGCTTCTCATTCACCATGGACATAAGCAGGACCACAATGGCCGGCCTGGAAACAAAAGCGTCGACGAGGTGAGCCGAGAGACAGTTGGGTCACCACAAACTTGGCGCTCTCAAACACTGTAGCAGTGGCATATAAGTGTCTCCCAACACACCTGGGAGGGCTAGAAGGTGCATTGACAGAGGCAAAGTACTCCTGGTTGTTGTGGTGGCCCCGGATGACTTCAGCCACCGTGTTTATTGTCTGAAAGACACGAGCGGAAACTAAGTTGATTCATATACACAGCAGTGAACCTGCAGAACATTGTCACCAACTTAAATATACCATGACTGCGCACAGACACCCAAACATGGTCATTGTTCACTACCAGCTACACAATGATTGAGTCGTGTTGTTAGGCCCTCTTCTGGTTAAGTGACAACTATCATACATCCTCCTTTCAATTGCTCCCGGAATCAAAACATATATGCACATAGTTTGAAATGTAGAAGAGTAATGAAAGGCTAAACAGTTTGTTCAAAAACATGACCAAACTGTCATACTTTTCATTCATTCAATCTGTCTTCGCGTTGCGAGTTTCGTTATGGATAAGAAATGACACATCACATTGAATCTTTTTTCCTGCATAAAAAGTAACACACTGCCACAAATTTCAGTAGTGAAACAAAGGGGGGAGGGGGGATGGCAGAACATCTTCAAAAGAAGGGAGACTCAATTTAGTGGTGAAGTATGAGTTGATGAGAGTCAGGCTGTAAAGGGGGTGATATGCGACTCTAGGGTGTACCAACTCTGCAGTATAGTCAGAATCAAAATTAACTGGAGCACGCCGCTGTGCATTTTTCTTACGAGGGGCACTAGCCTAGCAGCAAGAGGTACAACGAATTGGTCACATGACGGCAGGTCCATCGCAGTGTGCGGGTTGAGTGTGGTAGCTCTTTAGATATGACTCTGCAGAAACCATAGCTTTTCTTATGTTATGGTCTGTCTTAAAAAAAAAAAGGCAACAAATACGCAAGAGCAAACATACAGCCGCATTCCCTTGCTTTTTGTATGCGTGCATTATTTGACATGATACCCAAACTGGGGTTACCGCGCTCCCCCCGTGCACTAAGATGGGCCCGTCGCCATGTGACCAAGTGGCTGCATAAACTCCCGCCGGGCTAGCGCCCCGTCAAAAAAAATGCATGGTCGTGTGCTCCAGTTAGGTTTGATTCTGACTGTACATATTTTGTTTCACACAGTATGCTAAAGAATTCGGAGAAGCTAATTAAAAAAATTTGGGGAGAGGTGAGGGTCAGGCAGAAATTCCAAAGGAGCAGAAGCCAACCACCCCCGAGAGCTGCCCCTGAAAACGACAGTGCTGCATCGTCATGCCGAGAACACCACACTGCATGTCTCATTGCTTTATCAATGTTGCTGAAAAGTTTATGCCAGCATACTGCATATACAGAGGAATCTCATTAATTCAAACTCTCTTGATTTAAACTCGCAGATAATTCAAACTAGCATGCAGGTCCCGTCTTATGTGTTTCCAGGAAGGAAACTCCCGGCAATTCAAACTTTGCATTATTCAAACAAAGTTCTGGTAGCCCTCGCATTCAAATTGAGATTCCACATACAAAAAAATAGCTAATCACAAAAATCCCAAAGCCAACCACTTTTTACGGGAATGTACCTCGGTGAGGATGTCAGCAGGTACCCCGCTGGCCATGAGGATGTTGGCAAGCTGCTCCAAGAGACCCGACTGGTTCATGGCCTTCTGACAGGAGGAGGTCACGTTGAGGGGGCTGCTGGGAGACACCAGGCTCCGCACCACTTGCAGCATGTGGAAGATGTTGGACACCTTTTGGGCAGACCAGCCCTGCTGGCTCGAGGAGCCGTCCCCTCCCGACTCCTCGGCCCCCTGCCCTTCCTGGTGGTAGTTGAAGAAGGGACTCAGTCGCTGGATGTAGCTGCCTTCCTTGAAGAAGTTCTGGTTTGAACTGTTGTTCTTGAGGAGGTGCAACAACACCACCAGGCAGTCTTCCACCACCACGCCTATGCAGAGAGGGCCACAGTTCGTCAGACATTAAGCAATTTCTCGTTTTGCTTAGTCATAGTTGGGAAACCTCCTGCTACATATTTCTGAAGTTATAAAGGCTTCTTAAGCACAACCAAAGAGCTGAAAATAAAGCCTACGGAGCTTTTACAACTGATCTGAAGCGATGGTCAAGAGGACGGCCTTAAAAAAGGGCCATACTTTGTTGTTAAGACTATGTTATGTGTAAAAATTACTAAGCTGCATTGCTGCATGCAGCACCTTAAGTAGATGATGTACCATTGTTTATAACTCGACGTAAATGAAGGAAAAGGAATGCAACAACTTTCCATGCAATCTAAAAGTGACATGGAAAGCTTTTGAAGCAAAAATAAACTCCAATATTTTACTCCATAGCATACCACATGTTATAGATTACAGTGTTGTGATATTGGAGAAAGGCATGTGCCGAGTTCTTGAGCACAAAGATGTCTCCATAGCTCTATCAAACCCAGATCCAATAGGTGCTTGAAGTTTGTTTTCAGTAAACAACCCATTGGATGAAGCAAGAGCATTCCCAACAAGGAATGAAGCATCTCACCTCCGTCGCTGCAACCTTCATCCACGATGATGTCCAGAAGACGGTCAAAAGCGTTTTCAAATGCCACGATTTTCTGGATGTTTGCATTGGCTTTGGTTAGGTGAGAGAGCAGCAAGAGAGCCTGAGTCACAGAAAGAAACACCATACCATTTGGGGAATTCACTCAAACAACAGAAAGCAAGACTTGAGAGAACAAGAACTCACATCATTACGGATCACCTCTCGGCTGTCCGACAAAAGATCCATGAGCCTGGAGACCCCCATAGGGCTGATTAGGACACACTCCTGCACTTCCTTGGGCCGGTGGATCAACAGGCCCGTGAGCAGCCTCACAGCAGGCCACCTCACCTTGAACTCAAACTCCTGCGCAGAGATGCATTGCAAAGACTTTAGAGTGAAAAACTGAGCTCTTGCAAGGGTCAGCTTCCGTCAAAGCTGCATGTGCCTCTCTCAAACTACCATGACACAATTTCAACCAAAAAATAAAATTTTTTTCTTCTTTAGAATATAACATTAAAAGGGCCCTGCAAGGACTTTTTTACCGGTTTTTAATTTGCACCGAACCTGAGCGCACTGAACATAGTAACTTAATGGAACATTCTTTTTTTTCTCTTGAATTTCGCTTTATTTTTAAAGTTGTAGCCAAATTAAGATTACAAAAACAAGCAAAAAATAACTTCCTCCGTGACGTCCTTGTTGCTTGAGTGGCCATGAACTAGAGGAGGGGAAGTGAGCTCAGCAAGCGGTCACGGCTGCCGCACTCCGTGTCGACGGCTCGAGAGGGCGCCACTAAAGCATTTTCTGGCTAGGCTGTTTGAAGCGGGCAGCCAGGGCAGCTCGCACTGCATTTGCTGCACGACTAAACACTAATATCGGCATGAAACTTCATTGACCACGAACGACAGCACACACGGAGTAAAGATCAGTTCAGAACGGGAGCCACTTCGTGCTGCCATACCGCCAAAAGGCCAAACCACAAGCCAAAGCTGCTCGCCGAAGGCCTTGGGAATGCTCGGAACCGGTCGGATCCTCCAGTCCGCACGACCGCAGCGCCGCCCCGAACCATCCAGGACCTTTCTACGCTCGCCGCTCGCTGGTGCCCGATCCCACTACACCTTTCTAGTATGCGCCGCCTTTTCCACCACTTGGTGGCAGGTATGTCGATGGGTCATTTCTTGTTTCTGTACTTTTTAAACTGCATTTGTTTATTTTCTGATCTAAAATAGTGAACAAAAACTACCTTTATAAATAATTGAAACGGCTTGTGCCACTTATATTTTGTATTTCGACTAAAAAGAAGCTTTTAGTGGCTGTGACCAGTAGTAAGCCCAGGACCAAAGACGTCACAGATCGCGCGCATTCGGCACCGCGGAGTCGCCCATGTAGGTGGAAGAGGTTTCCGCATTGTTTGGTTAAAATATGATGCACTGATATTTACTTACTCTCTCCGTGCCCGCTGGCTTACCCGAACCCCGAGGGACGTGGAAACCGCAAAAAAGGTAGACGCTTAAATATGATTGCAGGGCCCCTTTAAAGATGTTTTGCTCAATTGATATCATAGAAGATAAATGGATGAATATAACGAGTAACTTCAATGTAAAAAAAAGAGTTTGAGCAAAGAACCGATAGCAGTATATATTGGGTGGTAGGAATGCCCTCTATGCAAGCAGTTCCCGATCAAGTAAGCAGATAACTGAAATATTCACCATGACAACTACATAAAAATAAAGAAACCAATGACCATCTTTTCAGGGGTAAATTTCAAACATCCATGCATGGTGACAAAAAGTAAGTTAGCTATAAAAGAACAAAAAAAGGTTGCTTGACCTTTCTGCAATATTTATATTTGTCAAGCACTCTATTTATAGGTCTTCTTACCTCCATGAGATCCAAGAGAAGTGTCACATTCTCTGACTTCTTTATGTAAATCTCAGTGAATTGGTCCCCAAGCTCTTGGCTCTTCTTTTCATCTGGGATATCATCTGGGCACGGTGTAAGTGTGGTTGTCAGAGTCATTAAACTATGATCGCTACCATCAGGCTCCCAAAAACAATAAATTGATTTCAAAATTCAGTCCAACAGTTTGAACCAGAATGATGGCACGGTACGACAAGTATAGTGCTTGTTACACAGGATTGGCACCATAGGGCACAAATATGAACCATAAAGACTGGGACACTAAAAGAGCACTAAAGGGCAAGCAAAGAATTATATTCACAAGGAAGATACCTGCAAACTTTTGTCAACTTGCAAAGCCAAAGGTGTCTGACTCTAAACAAAATCTCCAATCTCCACTACCAAATTTGGGGAGATAAATTTAAAAATTTCTTGTGGCTCCTACATCAAAAGGGTCCTGATGAAACATCAGGCGCTGCAAGGCACTCCAATGTAATACGAGTATTTAACGAAAACGATAGTTGAGAGTCAATGGTACCTTCGCAGTCTTCGGAACCTGAGATGACATAGGAGAGGGCATCCAGTGCATAGCCAATAATTTCACCGTCCCCTCTGTCAGTCTCAAGAACGTGAATCAAAGCTCCCATTCCTTGGGCACCCACCTCTACCCTAAATTTCTGCAAGAATAAAAGAAAAAAAGATCCTTGAGAGAGGAATTTATTCCAAGTTCGAGGTGTCAACACTGCTGAGAAGTAGCATTAGTAGCTGAAATAAAAGTAACAAAGAACAACTTTTTACTGTAACATGAAACATGACAAACTGAATATCATGAAATAGGTTTTCAGGTAATATTATCAGATATTTTAGCCAGGTAATTATGCAGAAGCAAGTTCACTATTTTATATGTGCATTTTTTTTCACAAGGAAGTAAACATTGTGGTGAACCAGTAAAGAAACTATTGTAAAACAAGCAGTTCTTAAGTTATACTAGCATCAAGACAAATTATTTTATAAACAATAAAATGACACCATGCCTGTCTTTACTTTATGCAGTACACTTGCCTGCTTCTAACAAATTTCAATCAACTAAGAGTAGCAGCACGACAATCAATTAATTTCTCCTGTGATGAGCGCTGATGTAAGCAGAGGCGAGCCCCTCCAGACAAAATTTAGCTTAATAAAGCGATCTCAACAAAGTTTGAGAGTAGCTTGGCAATCTTCGATTTCGAAAACAGATTACACGTTGCCGATGGAGAGAAGTCAACACGAAGCTTGCATTCTACGTGTGAAGACACTGCCGTGAAAAGCACCGTACGGCTGAATGTTTACCTTTGCCAGTGCCTTGAGAGCTCGGCACGCATCTCGCCGGTCATCGAGGAGTGTGGACGTCTGCACTCTGTCCACCAATCTTTCGACCTAGACGATTGCGTGGAACAAATCAACGCACCACATGTGAGTATACACCTGGCTTTGCCCGTTCGTCATGCAGAAAAATTGCTGTAATGGCTAAAGAGCACCGACGAATAACGAAGCTGACGTCGATAGAGTTGTACTAGACCTATGTATGCATTTTAAAAATCGCGGGGTATTCTGATAAATTTATAAATGAAAAAAAGAACCAACTGTATACGTGTATTTTGGCACCACTCGGGGCATTCCAGCGTATGCGAACTGAAGGAAGTGTCAGGTTCGTTTTAGGTGAGCGTGAGGAAAAGCACTCGAGGAACTGGAGGGTAATCATAAATACATGGTTTGAGGTTTGCTGCTGGCATTGTTCTCGGCCCGTGGTGTTCGGTAACAAAATTTGATGTCCGACCAAGTTCGCGACATCGAAGCGATCAGACGGTCGGGGCGGTCAAAAGCAGCACACCAAAACTTCGCAGCTTCGGCCGGTGCATTGCAAGTTGTAAGCAGTTAACCAATTAATTCGTTCGAAATGAATAAGAGTACCGTTTCGGCCCCGGTTGGTGCGTGGGCGCCCGGCTGTCCACCAAGTACAGATTTCAAACCTGTCTTGAAGAGCTCCATTTTGGTTTCTCTGGCGTGGCTGGCGACGACTTCCGGTTTTCGCAGCGCCCTCTTGTTTAAAGACCACGCTCAACACAGCTGACTTCCGGTTGTTGGATAGATGGATGAATGGTAATGGCTAGAGCCACTAAATGAGCGGCGCTTAGAGTACCGGCACTCCGTTCCCCGACATTGTTGTGGGCGCCGCCATTTTGGGGCTTGTGCAGAGCAGACGCAACTGCCGATCGTCATGATTCAAAAGTGAGACTTCCTTAGCATTAGATTTGATGTTAGAAAGCTCATGTAATATTGCTTTGCTTTATCGCGAACTGTATAAACATTTTTGGCGGACTTAAAATCGTTTAATGCGATTTCAGATAAAGCTTCAGATAACTGGCAACCTTGATTTTAAGCCACAATATGGCCAAGTGTCGTTACTCTGAAGCGTAGCTTATTTAGTGGCACTAGTAATGGCTATACTCTTCGTAACGGGCGGCAGCCTGCGCAACCTAGCCTAACATTTCGTCATACATTCTTTCTTAAAATTTGTATAACTTTTGTTCGAACACAACTCTCCTTACCTTTAAAGTGTTCCCATTGCTTATTGTCATCTTTATTTTCACCTCTCCCTAGATCTTTTCCACCAATCTTCCACTCTTCTCTTAATACCACAATAGACCCTTTGCAAAACGTACAGCGCCACGGCGGCGGGGAATTTTGGGAACCCTCGGTACAGATCACGCGCGTTCTTGTTGCGCCTCCATGACTGCGCGCGCGTCCCGGCAGCTACCGCCAGCAGCGCTATTTGAGACACACGATATTTAGTTCCAGAGTGCCCTTTGTTTAGCTCCCGTTTCCCCTTCTTTATTACAACATCTTAAGGTTCTAGCTTTTAGATACTTTCTTCCCTCGATTAACCATACTCCCAGATATTTGTACTTTTCTACGTGTTCTATCATGCACAGTGTCTTGCATCTCTATATGGTTCCCCCTTCGCGTCGTTATGAACTAGTATCCCAAACTTGTCCCTGCTGAAGTTTAGGCCTAAAGTGTAGTGTCCCCTTCCTCGCCACAAATTCTAATTAGTGCCTGCATTGTCCTACAAGTGCAATGTCATCTGCATACATCGGCCCTGGTAAAACTTGATTTATCCCCCCCCCCCCCCCCCCCCCCCCCCGGTTCTGTGGGGGAAAAAAAGGAGTACGTGCTATGTTTTGGTTGTATGTCAATTTCCGTTCAAGGAGCCATAGCAGAACAAGCACAACAGCTCGAGTATTCGCCGACGTATTTGGCACCAAGGGGAAGGCCTGGATTGTCACTCTTGAGGGGTATAAATGACTCACCGGAGGCATCCATCTTACCGAAGCTCATTTTAGCGAATGCTGGTTTAGAGACCCCTCTTTATAAAATACAGTTTAGAGAAGATGGCGATGAGCGTCCTTTTAGCGAATTCGGCCGCCGCGACGCGGCGTGTACGGGCGGGTCACGTGGATTAACATTTTTGTAAATTTTTACACCGCGTCTCCTTTTCGATAGACAGCGTTCTCTAAACTAAGGCTCTGCTTTCTCAAAACCGAGCTTCGATAAAACGTGCCCGTTCAAACGCGTTGCGATAAAATGTCGTTCGATTAACCGTAGTGATTAACGTGCATCACAGTGAATCACGAAAAAAAAAAAAGGCGTTTACAACTCCCTGTAATGCCGAATTAGAGCGCAGCTCTTGAAGAGGAGGAGGGAAGGGTCGTGAGGAGAGGGTATACCTCTCCCCACCTCCTCATCCTGTCTGCTACTCCTCCCTCCGAGCGGCGTCGCCGTCGCCTCACGAGGGTCACGTGACCTCACTGGGGTAACGCGACCCCCGTGGCGTCACGTGACCCCTGTGAGGTCACGTGACGGTGACGTTAGTGACGTCACCAGTGGCGTCACGTGTGACGTCATCAATGACGTTATAATGATACCGTCATCGTCACTGATGATGTCATCAGTGACGTCACGCGTCCCATAATGCACCGCGCGGTTACGCCGACGGCGACGCCGCTCAAGGCGGAAACGGGCGGAAATGGTGGTCACCCTAAGTAAAGCTGCGCTCTACTTAGGGTGACCACCTTCCCGCTAGCGAAATGCGGGACACGCTGATCGGGGGGGGGGGGGGGGGGGGGGGGAGGGAGAGGGGGGTTTGTAAGAGAAGAACGGCATTATATTTCGACTGTGGCAACTGCAAAAAAGAACTTAGTGCGCAGTCGGGCTGATGGAAGTTTACCATGCTGCCTTTTAACCCGAGACTGGGGCAGGAGGAGGAAAATTGTTTTTCCGCCTTCTGCCCCATAAGTCTCTGGTTAAAAAACATAATGAAAAAAATAACTATTCGACGAAATTTATCAACACACGCCACGAAATGTGGCTCTGCGAACATATTTGATATCATGTCTTGTCCGAAAGCATATCATACATACAGCTGCAAATTTTATTGCGGCAACTAAGCTCGAATAATTTTCACTCCAAGTGATATTGTCTGAGTTCAAAACATAAAACCGACTGCAACCGAACTCAATGCATCAAAATGATAGAAGACGCAGTAAATTTTTTACGGCTTCTTGTTTGCTTGTGACTCGTATTTTTACCAACATGCTCCTACACAAATTTCGAATCTTACGTTGTTGTTTTTAACCGTTGGGAGTTACAGTCTTCTTGCCTCGTGTAATCGTCTTACAAAAAAAAAAAAAAAAAGAAAATAAGAAACTTTTTACAGGCAATTTTTTTGCATTGGCGCAGCATGATTTGAAAATAATTAAAATAATTCATTTTCAACTTTTGGTAAGCAATTTTCTCTTGCAATATTTTGCCACCAAGGGAAGAGAGGCACAACGGAGCATGCCCGTCAGATCTCCTGCGAGAACGACGGTAACTTCCCCCAATGCTTGAATAGAAAATGGTGTACCATCGCGGTTCAAACGCTCAACAGCGATCTCTGCGCTTTTCCGTGCCCCGTTGCTTGGCAGCGCCATAAGCTGCGTAGTGAGTTTTACGACAGTGTGAAATGCGGGACATTTTGAAGATTTTGATATTTCTTGCGGGACGCGGGACACGAGCCTTCAATGCGGGACAGTCCCGCGAATCGCGGGACGGGTGGTCCCCCTAGCTCTACTTCATGGTCATTTTCGGTACAGTAGCTGGTGTCTTCCCCGGGCAGCGTTGCTTCTGTCACATGCTTTGCAAGGTGTGCAGGCAGGCGATTGATTTGTCGATATGTTGTGAGACTAATACCGTTCTTTTCTGCAACGCTTGCGCATTGACTCCGAATGCTTGCGAAACCCTCTGCCGTCCTCAGTTTGCTGAACCGCTCACATACTCCAGTGATCATCATAGATGCTTGAGTAAGTTCGCATGTCTTGTTTTGTAGATAGTCTGATATAATCTGCAGCTCGCCCAAGACTTGGCTGAAGATGACTTGGCTGAATGTGCAACAAACGTTAAGTCCATCTGGTGCAAAATGTGCGGACAACGGCTTTGTATGCATTTACTTGGCAAGTCCACTTAGTCTCGCTGATTCCTTTAAGTTCAATAGTCGTGCCGTATACCTGCTTCTGGACTGCGAGAAACATTACATGTGTTGCAGATCCACCCAAGAAAACATACAGTGTCTCCATTGGGGTGAAAAATGTTCTCACAAAGCCTAAAGCTTTGCAGGCGTCGACAATGACTAAATTCAGCCGATGGTTGAGGCAGTGCACGGGCGTACACGGCTTGAGGCACATCTTTCTTCAGGGGGGCTTGAACTCCGTTGCTCTTGCCGCTCATGACGCTGGCACCGTCATACGTTTGTCAATGCCGTTCTCGACAAGGATTCTACACCTTGACACTGCAGCCTTTCCTTTCCGTAGCTATAGAGAGAGGCTGCGTCCAGCATCTTCGAGCTCTTGAACCTAAGAAACCTCTCGTAGATGGACCCGTTGAGGAAGTACCGTACTACGATGAAGAGCTGCTCTGTTTCGCTGACATCGCGGGACTCGTCAACCATTAATGGGAAGCATTGGGCACTGCCCACTTCCTTCTTAAAATGGCGCAAAATCAGGTCTGAAATGTCAGAAAATATCTCGACCTGAATCGAGTGGTGCATATATTTCGCATTGGCAGGGCCACTCTCCAATTTCTTTTAGCACAATGACATAACTTTTCGCAACAAGCTGAAGCAGCTCGAGAAAGTTTCCCGTATTGTCGCTCAAAAATGACTCGTCGTCTGCTCTCTGGGCTATTCCCTTTATCTCAGTAAATCGAAGCACGAAAGAACTTTCGAGCAAAATCAGCGAGAAGAGCAATGTGTGGAAAACATTAGCTATGGTGGTGGATGCAGCATCGTCGGGACCACAAGGATTCGTCTAATGCAATGCGTGCAAAGGATTTCTGTTGACAGCGGTGGCAAGACCGGCACATCGCACCCAAGTCGGCTCCGGTGCAAACCCGTCCAGCCTACAGCACCATCACCACCTTCCTCTAGGTAAAGGGATCCCACCTATCCTCATAAAACCGAAGCGAAGTAATCACGGCATGTGTTTGCATGTGCGCCGAAGACCTATACGTCCTTTTAACACAGCAAGTGACACCGGCTTTCGAAAAATGTGTAACGCACTAATCAAAATTGGCGCCCATTTCGGGAATATTGACGGTGCGACTATCCTCCCTGACGCTACAACGATTTCAAGGCATGCGGCCGAAGTCGCAGACAATCTCCAAGACGTAGTGAGGTCGGAATTGGAACTTGGAATGGAAGAGAGCAGATCTGCAGCAACCACTGACATGTGGACTGAGGACTTCAGGAAAGTTGCTTACACCACGCTGGCAATTCCCTTCATCGATAATAATTTGAACATTCAGAGCAAGGTCATGTTCGACTTGTGACTTTCCTAACAAAAGGACCGGCGAAAACATCAGGAGAGAACTGCAGCGCAGATTCCTAAAGTGAAAAACATCACGTTCGTGAGAGACCAAGACGCCAACATTGTTACACTACAGTCGTTCACACGACTAAGCTGCGCAGCTCACTTGTTGAACA